TATTTTTTGCAGCTGTATTTTTTGCAGCTGTATTTTTTTGCAGCTGAATTTTTTTGCAGCTGAATTTTTTGCAGCTGAATTTTTTTGCAGCTGAATTTTTTTGCAGCTGTATTTTTTTGCAGCTGTATTTTTTGCAGCTGTATTTTTTGCAGCTGTATTTTTTGCAGCTGTATTTTTTTGCAGCTGAATTTTTTTGCAGCTGAATTTTTTTGCGGCTGTATTTTTTTGCAGCTGTATTTTTTGCAGCTGTATTTTTTGCAGCTGTATTTTTTGCAGCTGTATTTTTTTGCAGCTGAATTTTTTTGCAGCTGAATTTTTTGCAGCTGTATTTTTTTGCAGCTGTATTTTTTGCAGCTGAATTTTTTTGCAGCTGTATTTTTTGCAGCTGTATTTTTTGCAGTTGAATTTTTTGCAGCTGAATTTTTTTGCAGCTGAATTTTTTTGCAGCTGTATTTTTTTGCAGCTGTATTTTTTGCAGCTGTATTTTTTGCAGCTGAATTTTTTTGCAGCTGTATTTTTTGCAGCTGTATTTTTTGCAGCTGAATTTTTTTGCAGCTGTATTTCTTGCAGCTGATTTTTTTTGCAGCTGTATTTTTTGCAGCTGAATTTTTTTGCAGCTGAATTTTTTTGCAGCTGTATTTTTTTGCAGCTGTATTTTTTGCAGCTGTATTTTTTTGCAGCTGAATTTTTTTGCAGCTGAATTTTTTGCAGCTGTATTTTTTTGCAGCTGTATTTTTTGCAGCTGTATTTTTTGCAGCTGAATTTTTTGCAGCTGTATTTTTTTGCAGCTGTATTTTTTGCAGCTGTATTTTTTGCAGCTGTATTTTTTGCAGCTGTATTTTTTTGCAGCTGTATTTTTTGCAGCTGAATTTTTTTGAAGCTGAATTTTTTTGCAGCTGTATTTTTTGCAGCTGTATTTTTTGCAGCTGATTTTTTTGCAGCTGTATTTTTTTTTGCAGCTGAATTTTTTGCAGCTGTATTTTCTGCAGCTGAATTTTTTGCAGCTGTATTTTTTGCAGCTGAATTTTTTTGCAGCTGTATTTTTTGCAGCTGTATTTTTTTGCAGCTGTATTTTTTGCAGCTGAATTTTTTTGAAGCTGTATTTTTTGCAGCTGTATTTTTTGCAGCTGAATTTTTTTGCAGCTGAATTTTTTTGCAGCTGTATTTTTTTGCAGCTGTATTTTTTGCAGCTGTATTTTTTGCAGCTGTATTTTTTTGCAGCTGAATTTTTTTGCAGCTGAATTTTTTGCAGCTGAATTTTTTTGCAGCTGAATTTTTTTGCAGCTGTATTTTTTTGCAGCTGTATTTTTTGCAGCTGTATTTTTTGCAGCTGTATTTTTTTGCAGCTGAATTTTTTTGCAGCTGAATTTTTTTGCGGCTGTATTTTTTTGCAGCTGTATTTTTTGCAGCTGTATTTTTTGCAGCTGTATTTTTTGCAGCTGTATTTTTTGCAGCTGTATTTTTTTGCAGCTGTATTTTTTGCAGCTGAATTTTTTTGAAGCTGAATTTTTTTGCAGCTGTATTTTTTGCAGCTGTATTTTTTGCAGCTGATTTTTTTGCAGCTGTATTTTTTTTTTGCAGCTGAATTTTTTGCAGCTGTATTTTCTGCAGCTGAATTTTTTGCAGCTGTATTTTTTGCAGCTGAATTTTTTTGCAGCTGTATTTTTTGCAGCTGTATTTTTTGCAGCTGTATTTTTTGCAGCTGTATTTTTTTGCAGCTGTATTTTTTGCAGCTGAATTTTTTTGAAGCTGTATTTTTTGCAGCTGTATTTTTTGCAGCTGAATTTTTTTGCAGCTGAATTTTTTTGCAGCTGTATTTTTTTGCAGCTGTATTTTTTGCAGCTGTATTTTTTGCAGCTGTATTTTTTTGCAGCTGAATTTTTTTGCAGCTGAATTTTTTGCAGCTGTATTTTTTTGCAGCTGAATTTTTTTGCAGCTGAATTTTTTGCAGCTGAATTTTTTTGCAGCTGAATTTTTTTGCAGCTGTATTTTTTTGCAGCTGTATTTTTTGCAGCTGTATTTTTTGCAGCTGTATTTTTTGCAGCTGTATTTTTTTGCAGCTGAATTTTTTTGCAGCTGAATTTTTTTGCGGCTGTATTTTTTTGCAGCTGTATTTTTTGCAGCTGTATTTTTTGCAGCTGTATTTTTTGCAGCTGTATTTTTTTGCAGCTGAATTTTTTTGCAGCTGAATTTTTTGCAGCTGTATTTTTTTGCAGCTGTATTTTTTGCAGCTGAATTTTTTTGCAGCTGTATTTTTTGCAGCTGTATTTTTTGCAGTTGAATTTTTTGCAGCTGAATTTTTTTGCAGCTGAATTTTTTTGCAGCTGTATTTTTTTGCAGCTGTATTTTTTGCAGCTGTATTTTTTGCAGCTGAATTTTTTTGCAGCTGTATTTTTTGCAGCTGTATTTTTTGCAGCTGAATTTTTTTGCAGCTGTATTTCTTGCAGCTGATTTTTTTTGCAGCTGTATTTTTTGCAGCTGAATTTTTTTGCAGCTGAATTTTTTTGCAGCTGTATTTTTTTGCAGCTGTATTTTTTGCAGCTGTATTTTTTTGCAGCTGAATTTTTTTGCAGCTGAATTTTTTGCAGCTGTATTTTTTTGCAGCTGTATTTTTTGCAGCTGTATTTTTTGCAGCTGAATTTTTTGCAGCTGTATTTTTTTGCAGCTGTATTTTTTGCAGCTGTATTTTTTGCAGCTGTATTTTTTGCAGCTGTATTTTTTTGCAGCTGTATTTTTTGCAGCTGAATTTTTTTGAAGCTGAATTTTTTTGCAGCTGTATTTTTTGCAGCTGTATTTTTTGCAGCTGATTTTTTTGCAGCTGTATTTTTTTTTGCAGCTGAATTTTTTGCAGCTGTATTTTTTTGCAGCTGTATTTTTTGCAGCTGAATTTTTTTGAAGCTGTATTTTTTGCAGCTGTATTTTTTGCAGCTGAATTTTTTTGCAGCTGAATTTTTTTGCAGCTGTATTTTTTTGCAGCTGTATTTTTTGCAGCTGTATTTTTTGCAGCTGTATTTTTTTGCAGCTGAATTTTTTTGCAGCTGAATTTTTTGCAGCTGAATTTTTTTGCAGCTGAATTTTTTTGCAGCTGTATTTTTTTGCAGCTGTATTTTTTGCAGCTGTATTTTTTGCAGCTGTATTTTTTTGCAGCTGAATTTTTTTGCAGCTGAATTTTTTTGCGGCTGTATTTTTTTGCAGCTGTATTTTTTGCAGCTGTATTTTTTGCAGCTGTATTTTTTTGCAGCTGAATTTTTTTGCAGCTGAATTTTTTGCAGCTGTATTTTTTTGCAGCTGTATTTTTTGCAGCTGTATTTTTTTGCAGCTGTATTTTTTTGCAGCTGTATTTTTTGCAGCTGTATTTTTTTGCAGCTGTATTTTTTGCAGCTGAATTTTTTTGCAGCTGTATTTTTTTGCAGCTGTATTTTTTTGCAGCTGAATTTTTTTGCAGCTGTATTTTTTGCAGCTGTATTTTTTTGCAGCTGTATTTTTTGCAGCTGAATTTTTTTGCAGCTGTATTATTTGCAGCTGTATTTTTTTGCAGCTGAATTTTTTTGCAGCTGTATTTTTTTGCAGCTGTATTTTTTTGCAGCTGTATTTTTTGCAGCTGAATTTTTTTGCAGCTGTATTTTTTTGCAGCTGTATTTTTTTGCAGCTGTATTTTTTGCAGCTGTATTTTTTGCAGCTGAATTTTTTTGCAGCTGTATTTTTTTGCAGCTGTATTTTTTTGCAGCTGTATTTTTTGCAGCTGTATTTTTTGCAGCTGAATTTTTTTGCAGCTGTATTTTTTTGCAGCTGTATTTTTTGCAGCTGTATTTTTTGCAGCTGTATTTTTTGCAGCTGAATTTTTTTGCAGCTGTATTTTTTTGCAGCTGTATTTTTTTGCAGCTGTATTTTTTGCAGCTGTATTTTTTGCAGCTGTATTTTTTTGCAGCTGAATTTTTTTGCAGCTGTATTTTTTTGCAGCTGTATTTTCACCAGATAAAATTCAGTGTATAAAATTCGGTGTACAAAAAAAGGCAGATTCCAATGAGACTTTTTTTCATCCATATTGGAATGACAATGACCTGGCTGACTGAGAATCTTCGCCAGCATGTTGCTTGAATACGAACTCTTTCGAATTGATCTTGACATGTGGCCCAAAAAACCCGCTGACCATAGGAGTTCATTTCACATCCCTGCCTCCATTGATGCAGCTGCCCTGATTCCCTAACGAGGCAACGGCGTCAAAGGCGAGCAGTGATGAGATGCTCTGGAGCTGACTTCTCTTCACCCAGCAACTGTTCCACGCACACATTTTTTAAGCGTTCACTCGCAGGCTTTCCGTCATTGCTCCATAAAAACCGGTAGATTTAAAGGTAGGGGCCGGTGGCTCCACTTCCTGTGTGGGTGAAGCTGTGAGCAGTAAACGCCTGTGGCCTTCCATGACCATGTCACTTCTTGTTTTTTAATCTCCTCTATGTGAGTCTGTGTTGCGCTCATTCAACATATCAGTTTTGGGTGTTTGAAGAGCTGTGTGTGTGTGCGTCTGTCTGTCTGTATTCAGAGTGGCTCCAGGCCCTCATGCGTCAGAGGTCCTTTCTATTTCTATGGCCCCTGAGCAAACATATTAAGAACCACCTTATCACCGCTTAAACAGCGAGGGCCACACACACATTCGGTTGTGTCCTGAACACACATTCCACATTAACAAAAAAAAAATTGCTTTCAAACCAATCCCACCAAGCCCTCGGCCAAACTCTCCAAATGTCACCAGTCCCCCCAGTTTGAAGGGCTGGCCCCCCGAGGAGCTCTGGGCTCTGTGACTGGTTCCTGCGAGCAGTCGGTCACACGGCCTGCAGAAGCTCGGCTTTATAAACGCCAGATCCAACCAGAACGGCGTCCTTGACGAGCCTCGTTTAGAGGGACACACTTGGCCTTTCAAAGACTGTCAGCTCGGACCGAACCGAACCACGCCGTTAAGGGACTCCAGGGGCCCGCATATCCCCCGCAGAGCTCAGAGCATCATCTATTAAATGCAACTTTTCGTGGTTAGGAGACGCCTCGTTGTGACAGCTGAGAAGCAGCTGACTTTGTAAACCTGCAACAGAAAGTCTTCTGCAGACGCCATGCCGAGCAGAGCGGCGGCCATTTTTGGGATGAAGGTGGTTCTGATGAAGCTAATGCTGTCGGGAATACAGGTTGACTCAGCGCCCGCGGAGAGGCGTGGAGAAATGGCTGAACTAACAGGTGAGGGCGGCCATGTTGGCCAGGGAACGGGAGAAAACATCGAACAAGCTAACGCCATGAAATCAATGCTTTTATCCTATTTCATATATATATATATATATATATATATATATATATATACATATATATATACATATTTATATATGTATTTATTGTTTCAAAATTATATAAATTTATGATCTTTTAAGTACATTTATGTGCACAAATTTACCAGAATTTTGTTATATCAAATGGATAATTTTTTTCCCCATTTCATTCATTGTTTTCAAACTGAGCAATGAAGCAAAAAAAATATAAAAAAATAAACAAATAAATAAAATTCCAAAAGTTCTGGAAGGAAGGAAGCAGAAAAATTATTTATCTTATTTTATCTTACCTCAGGTATAACCGACATATTCACTGAGCATATCAGCTTTTATTTTGAAAAGAAATATTGTTTGATTCTTTGGTTCTTTTGCTCTGATTGTTCTATAAGCTGATTCTTTCTGTTATTTTTGACCATATGTTTTTTTAAAATCAATGAAATGTCACTGCGCCAGAGTCTGCTTTTATGGAATCGATGAGCTGAGAGCCAGAGGAGAGCGACGTTCGGAGCCCGAGGCCCCCAGGAACAACAAAACACACACATTCACCTCCGTCTATAGAAATTAAACAGTCAAGTCATTCTACACACTTTTATATAATTGGATTTTTAATTATTTAAATCATAATTTAAATATATTTTGAATTAATTCAACATTTAAAAATGTAACTCAATTCATAACTTTGAGTAAATAATTATCTAACCGGATCAAAAAGTGTATTAGGTACATAAATGAGTAAATAGTAATTGAATGAATAAGTAAATACATAAATAAATATATAAATAAGTAAATAAATAAATTGTCGTGGCGCAATGGACCAGCTATATACCCTTCATCGGGTGCTGAACGGTTAGTGGGAGGTCGCCCAACCAGCCCATCTGTGTTGTGTGGATCTGGAGAAGGAGTTGACCATGTCCTTCTTGATGCCCTCTGGGGGGTGCTCCTGGAGTATGGGGTCCGGGGCCCGTTCTCTGTATGACCGCAGCAGGACCTTGGTTCACATTGGTGGCAGTAAGTCTGACCTTTTCCCGGTGCATGTTGGCCTCCACCAGGGCTGACCTTTGTCACCGGTTCTGTTCATTACATCTATGGACAGAATATCTAGGCACAGCCAGGGCCAGGAGGGTGACGGTTTGGGAACCACAGGATATCACCTCTGCTATATGCAGATGATGTTGTCCTGTTGGTCTCATCAAACCAGGATCATTGGGGTGCACTGGAGTCCACCGGAGAAAGGTGGACTCCCCTCTTCAGGTCAGTCCTTGTCTCCAGTGGAGGAGTTCAAGTATCTCGGGGTCTTGTTCAGGAATGAGGGACGGATGGATCGATAGATGGATCGGTGCGGCGTCGGCAGTGATGCGGTCGCTGTATCAAACCGTCGTGGTTAAAGGTAGTTGAGTCAGAGGGCAAAGCTCTTGATTTACCGATCCATCTACGTTCCCACCCTCACCTATGGTCATGAGATCTGGGTAACGACCCAAAGGATAAGATCGTGAATACAAAAGGCCGAAATTGGTTTCATCGACAGGGTGACGCACCCTTCTAGATCAGGTGAGGATCTCAGTTACCTGTGAGGAGCTCAGAGTAGAGTCGCTGCTCCTCCATGTTGAAAGGATCCAGCTTAGGAGGCTCTGGCATCTGTTCCTGATGCCTCCTGGTCGCCTCCCTCAGGAGGAGTTCCAGGCATGTCCCATTGGGAGGAGGCCTGGTGGAAGGACCAGGACTATGGAGGGACGATGTCTCTGAGCTGGACTGGTGACGCCTCAGGAGCAGCTGGAAGAGGGAAGTCTGGACATCTCTGCTTAGACTGCTGCCTCCGTGACCCCGCCCCGGATAAAATGGATGGATAAATAAATAATAAAGTAATGAATAAATAATGGAAAAAATAAATAAGTAACTAAGTAAATAAATGGGTAAATAAATAAAAAAGTTAATAAATACAAAAAATTATCAAAAAGTAATTAAGTACTTAATTAGATAAGTAAGTAAATACATAATTAGGTAAATAAATAAATGCATAAATAAGTGGGTAAATAAAAAATTCAAATTAAATACGTAAATAATTCAATAAATAGGTAAATTATTAAATGAGTAAAAATAATAAATATATAAGGAGGCAGAAAAAAAATGTACATAATTAAATAAGTAAGTAAATACATAAATAATGAAATGAATAGGTAAATTAATAAATAATTAAATGAGTGAACAGATAAAGAAGTAAGTAAATACATTAATAATGAAAAATAAATAAGCATTTAATTAAATAAGTGAGTACATTTATAAATAAGTAAATCAATAATTAAATACATAAATTAGTAAATAAAAAAGTAAAAACATAAATCATGAAATAAGTAGGTATAAATTAATAAAAAAGTAAATGGAATAAATGCATCAATAAGTAAGCAAAATAGATAAATAAGTAAATAATTAAATAAGAAAGCATAAATAATGAAATCAGCAAGTAAATTAATAAATTAGTATATAAATTAATAAATGTGGAGCCTTCAGCTGTTTTTTTTCCATCTCACTGAGAATCTACATTTATATATCTATATATCTATTCTTCCTCACCATGTCAGTCAGACTGTGGTCTGGACTTGGACTAGGCCGTTCTGCTTAAAACAAGATCTGATTTTATTGATCCACGGAGAAATTCCCTCGTCTCTGATAAAAAAACAGAAGGTAAAAAAATGATGCAGATGGTGATTTATCTGCTTCCTCCCTCCCTGACCCATGGAAGCAGCACAACTTTTTATAAATTCTTCACCTTTAGTTGATAGTCGAGTAAAATCTTTTTTTATTCACTTTGAAGTGGAATTCAAAGCTGTATTTAAGCCTCGGAGGAGAGAAACCTTAGAAAGGAAACCCAGAGGAGAAATAAGGAGTCCATTTATGAACCCCATGTGCCTCACTCAGTCATTTAACTGTTTACATTAAGAGGATTCAGGAAAACCAGAAATACTGGATGAAATTAAATCAGGTTTAAACTTTAAAATCAAACTATAAGCAGGTTGGCTTTCATTGCTTTGTGCTTCAGTTTATTACCGTCTGATAACGGAATGATTTTATTTTGAAAAACGCATCTTATGTTGCAGTGAGAAACATCGCAAACACGTCTTTGGCTAGCAGCCTTAGTGTTTTTCACATCATCTATGGCAGGCCGTTTGAACATAAAATCAGCTTCTTCTGACGAGTCATAATTGAAATAACATTTTGACATCCTTGAATAAGATCAAGATATCTTCAATCAAAATGCCATCTGAGATGTCTCAAACAACGTCGCCTGATTGGTCATTTAAAGTGTCCAGAATTATAATCAAGATATCTCCAAGATAATTTGGATTATATATTTTCATATAAATGAATAACAAAGCTGTATACCATTGTCTTGAGCCAGAAAAGGGTAGAGTTCTTTTTGCGGGTTGGGGAGGATGTACTGTACCATACATATACACATACTTCAGTGACAGACTGCTGTACCTTAGTTACACTAACCAGCTCTATCGCAGATCTTTCCTACCAGAAGCTATTGGACTCTAGAACCATTACTGCTGAAAAACAACTAAATGAATCTCATCATCTCTGCAGCTTTTTTCCTCTCTGTTTCATCCTCTAGACAGAAACATTCCTCCACCTTTAGCCCATTTCTTAAAATCAGCCTTCTTAGATGCAAACATCTTTTAAAGTATGCTATTTTTAATAACTAATAGCTCTTCTGTATTCCTCCCACACTGCGAACTGGCCCTTATTTACACACATTGTTTTGATCTGTTATATTCCAATCATGTTTCACCTGCTCCTCATTTCCTCACTAAGGGGTGATAAATGTAATTTCTACCCTGGTCTATTCTCCTCTCCATCCATCTTCTCCTGTTTAATCCTTGTCAGAGTGGCAGTGGGGCTGGTGTCTATCTCCAGCTATCTATGGGTGAGAGGCAGGGTCCACCCTGGATAGGTTGCCAGGGCAACACAGAAAGAAACAGGACAAACAATCATTCACACACGCCTAAGGAGAATTTAAAGAAACCAATTAACCTAACAGTCATGTTTTTAACTGTGGGAGGAAGCCGGAGAAGATGCTAACTCCAAGCAGAAAGACCCCAGGCCGGGAATCGAACCAGTAACCTTCTTACTGCAAGGCAACAGTGCTTTTTTATTGTTATCTCCCTTTCATCTCCTCTTTCTTTCATCTTTTTCCTTTTTTTCCTGTTTTTCCTTCCCTGTTCTACTTACATTGCAGTGTCCATAGAATCTGTAAAACTCCCTGCATAATTATAATAAAGCTATTTATATGCATAAATCAAGCGAAACACTATGGCCATAGCCATACTGCTCCACTGGTGAAAGTAAAATCTGTTGGGCTCTTTTTGGGATCAAGATGATTATTCTTATTGGACAGACAAGACACTGTTAAAAAAAAAAAAAAAAAGAAAGACAACAGTGCTATCCATTGTATCTCCTTTCAAAGAAAGTTAAAAACAATCCTCTGAACTTTGTTTCCAAGTCTGAAGACGTTTCTCTTCCATCCAGAAGCTTTTTCAGTTCTAAATGTCAGAAATAGCGTTTAGTTCCAGGTTTTATCCAGCAGCCCAACAAAGCCTGGTTTTAGTTTAGAAAACATGCAGATAGAAACGGATGAACGGGTCCCCCCCTTTGGAATGGGGGTCGTTTGGCCCATTCCAAAGGGGTGGACCTCAAACTCAACGCTATTCCTGACATTGTTAATTGCAAAACGTCTTCAAACTTGGAAACAAAGTCCAATAGTTTGTTTTCTATCTTTTTTTGGAATGACTATGATCTGGATGACTGAGAATCTTCACCAGCTTACTGCACTACCGGGCAACCCTTAGGTATTCCTGGAAAAATAATTTATCCTAAAACTCTTTTGGAATTAGAAGAAAATGTAATTATATCCAACAAACACAGGAAATCATTGCAGATCATGAGGTGTAGATCAAGAAGCAATGTTGATCTCTGCCTGGTTCAGTCGCTACCACCACAACGAGACTATATGTTTTTCTTCCGCGTCTGGCTCACAGCCTCCTTTTCATTCTCAAACCTCGTCAGCGGGGGGGTTTACGCCTGGCACTGTTTGTAGGAACAGACTGAAGATTGATGTTAAGGTGTCGGTTGGAGATGCCCGTGCTATGGCTAGTCTTCAGTCAGTCTCCTCAGTACACCTTGCCACTCAGGCTGAAAGGTGGGGTGGTGAGGAAAGCACATCCGTGTCCTGCTGTGGCTAGAAGTTACAATACACAGAAGATCCCAGTTCCACCACTACTGTGGGGCATGAAGAGAGGAGATGTTGTGAACCATTGTGGAAGCATTCTGGTGCTAAAGATAGTACACCTTAAAAACAATTTTCTGTTGTATTGTGAATTGCTTTTTAAAAGACATTTGTTTAAACTAATGTGTTTTCTAACCCTTGTTGATTTTTCCTCCTATTTATGTCCAGAAAATCTTTGGATTTCAGAGCCACAGAGCATGACATCAACCATCCAAAAGCTGGTTTCGATGACTGGTTAACATTTTAACTTTCAGAAACAACTTTTGAAAAATGTCTTTCTGTCTAAAGTCCCTGAAAATACTGGCCATTTCCCCAGGGTGTTCCCTAAAATCACCCTCCCTGCACCATGTGAACTGTGAGCTGTCTCTCTGTCTGGCAGGTTTTGGGCGAGGCCTTGATCCTCCACTAGGGGGCTCTACAGATCCCTCGTCATTCCTCCTGAATCCGAGTCAACACATAAAAACCACCTGGCCTGATCGAGCAACAGGAAACGCAGAGAGAATGACTCCAAAAAGCATCACCGTTGGCATCATGGAGGGAGAATCGCAAATTAGAACAGACGTGGCAAGACCAGACAGTCGAGCCAAGATTGCCCGGATGATCTCAGCCCTGGCAGAGCTGCACAGGACCTTCAACAGCACTCTGAGCTCCCACATCACCTTCCTCCCTCGTGGTAGTAACAGCCTTCTTCTCTCTGACATGAAACGTCCGAACTGCTTCCACCATTCCTCCTAATCATCATCTGGCATCTTCTCTTTTCTCTCTTCTTCGTCATTTCAGGAAACAGCAGAAATCCGAAAAGGAAACCAAAAGTGGTAAGGTTCAGTTTGGTTTCAAGTTGACGATTAACAGCAATTATCAAACCCATGGTACTTGGATTCTACATCTGAACTCCTTTAGAGGTGCAGAACCGTCCAATTTAGGCCAAATTACCGAACAACACAGAGATCATCAGACAGGGTAGAACATTGATCTCTCAGGTGAAGAGGGCAGATTGAGCCATGACTTGTTTGGATCAAGAGGACAGAAACAGGAGGGTTAGGAGTTCCTTTGACTGACGCTATTGATGGATACAAAGAGGTTGATTTGTTGATGCGTGTTCCAGTTTGCTGTAGGACTAATGAGTCTTACTCTCATTGCTTTTTTTGGAAGCCCCCTGCTGCAGATAAAGGAGCGAAGACCACCCCTGCCCCTCCGCCAGTCTCTGAGACCACCACTGCCGGGGCGAGCCCAGATTCTGACACCCCTGGCCTGTCGGGACGAAACTTGCGGAAGCCTTTGCCACCACAGAGCAAGAAGACCAATAAACGAGGTAAGGAAGGCCAAAAAGTCTGCTTTAGGAGAGTCTAAAGTCAAAGTTAAACCACAAACAGACGTTCCCTGAATTAAGCCTAACTTTTTTTGAAGGAAGGAGGTACAGTAGTTCTTGAGCTGAGTTCTTATGCCATCTGATGAGATCTTTGTTGTGTTGGCCAATGCCGGCTGAGGTGCCTTTGGACGGTGAGGCCTAGAAACATGAGGGAAACTTACATTAAACGTGGCTTAAATCACACTGAAAACATGTTAGCATCAACGAGTCCAAAGTCATGCGTTGAAAACATCTCCCGTGCCCTTGACTCGAATCTCACATCAAGTGTTTCTTTAAAAGACCCAAATATTTATTTGACTAAGTTTTTGATGCTGAAATAACATATCAGAATAAATCAAGTTTATTTTGCATGATACAGACATTTTAAAGCTCAATAACCAAGACAAAGGTCGATCTTTTCTCCACAGTGTGTTTCTGGAAGTACTGTTCCCAGAACTAAGGTGTCCTGCTGGTGTCCCCCACCCTACATGTCGTCCATCTCCGATCTTCTTAGCACTGGGATCTTCTGAGAGGAACACCAACCCAACCGTCTGCCGCAATCAACGTCTCAAACATTTCAACAGTGCCCATCAGACACTTCTTGCTTTTCTGCTTTTGTCCCGTTTCTTTTGAACTCAAAGTACTTTGAACGGTGCAACATAAGCTCAAACTGGGATCACATCTGCTTATTTCCCAGCAATGCAATGCTGACATAGAGTTTCTCTATAGTTATACCTGACATCCCTTCCCTCCTCTGCTGTGTCTTTGCTCTGACTTGTCCTAGGCGACTGTTGCCGGGCATCGGGAGGCTCCTGGCTCACCCGCAGCCTGGCGCCGCCTGGACTCAGCCCTTTTCTTTTAGCCATATACTAACAAGACTGACTGATCAAAGAAGACGATGTGTGCTCATGGCGCATGAACAGACACTCTGTTAGCGGACGGGCACATGTCAGCTCTGTCTGTGCCGTATTTCTAATAAAGTTCATCCGTGGCATGGCGAGCAGCGGCTGTGATGATGATGTATGACCCATGTTTCACTTTCTCTACCCTCTCAGGTTAGAATCTGACGTCGCTGAACAAGGAGGTTGAGTTTGACTTCATGAATTTGATTTAAAAGGAGCTGTCTGCGAACTAGAGCAGAATAAAAGCCAGTAAAACTCAGGTTTCCCATCTACCCACTGGAGCCGTGTGGCACAGACCAGTTAACAACCATCCAGCAAAGATTTAAAGGAGGATGTAATTGCCTGCTGTCTCTGATGAGTCCTGTACAAATGTGGATTTGGTTGATGTTCCCCACAAAAGGCTCAGGATGTTAGATATCTTCTGATTTTAAACATGCGTACGATGTCAGAAGGTAGTCAGGCAAACAGCAGCTACAGTCGGACAAACACAGAACTTTTTCAGGTGATCCAAGATTTCTCAAATAGTTCACCATGAGGGAGAAGGTCTTTGCTCCAAACGAGTCATTCCCACCAGAAGCAACAGCTTCCTGAAAAAACGAATCTTCCAGTTTGGATCGCATAGAATAAAAACGACTTCCCTCTGTAAAGAGACACACATTTACCAACACATCTGTTTCCACATTTATTTATTTAAATTTATGGTGTCTCTTCTGTAGATGAATTATTAGGGCCAGAGTAGAGATTTCTTTTTTTAAATATGAGAAAAATGTAACATTATAAAGGTGTAATATTATGAGAATGAAGTCGCAACATTAGGAGAATAAAGTCCTATTATAAGAATAATGATGTCACATTATAAAGACATTATAAATTTGCAACATTAGGAAAGTAAAGGCGCCACATTATAAGAAAGTCATAATATTACAAATATAAAGTCATAACATTAGTAGAATAAAGATGTAACATTATAAAGATGTAATATTACGAAAATAAAGTCTCAACATTATCAGAATAAAATCATAATATTATGAGAATAAAGTTGCAACATTGGCAGAATAAAGTCATATAAGAATAATTATGTCACATTACAAAGATGTAAATTACGAGAAAAAATTGCAACATTCAGAGATTAAAGGAGCCACATTTTCAGAGGAAAGTCATGTTACGAGAATAGTGATGTAACATTATAAAGTTGTAATATTACGAGAAAAATTCGCAACATTATCAGAAGAAAGTCAAAACATTATGAGAATAATGATGTAACATTATAAAGACGTAATATGAAAAATATTACGTCTGTGACTAAAATAAAGTCACAATATTATCAGAACAAACTAATAATTTCATGAGAATAAAGTCATGTTATGAGAATAATGATGTAACATTAAAAAGACGTAATATTATGAGAATAAAGCCGCAACATTAGGAGAATAAAGTCCTATTATAAGGATAATGATGTCACATTATAAAGACATTATAAATTTGCAACATTAGGAAAGTAAAGGCGCCACATTATAAGAAAGTCATAATATTATGAGAATAAAGATGTAACAGTATAAAGACGTAATATTACGAACATAAACTCACAACATTATCAGAAGAAAATCATAATATTATGAGAATAAAGTCGCAATATTGGCAGAATAAAGTCATATAAGAATAATCATGTCACATTATAAAGATGTAAATTACGAGAAAAAAATTGCAACATTCGGAGATTAAAGGAGCCACATTACCAGAGATTACGATAACAGTGACGTAACATTATAAAGTTGTAATATTACGAGAAAAAGTCGCAACATTAAGAGAGGAAATTCGCAACATTATCAGAAGAAAGTCAAAACATTGTGAGAATAACGATGTAACATTATACAGACGTAATATTTTTAATATTACGTCTGTGACTAAAATAAAGTCACAATATTATCAGAACAAAGTAATAATTTCATGAGAATAAGGTCATGTTATGAGAATAATGATGTAACATTAAAAAGACGTAATATTACGAGAATAAAGTCGCAGCATTGTCACAATAAATTTTTTCTTAGACATGCTGATAATAATTTGACCATGGTGTGCTAAAAGATTTAATATTATCGTATCTGTGAAATTGATGCCTTTACATGACGCTCCACATTCCTAATTTTAGGGAAGAAATTGCTTCTTGAAGAATTGTCATAAAAAACAACATTAGTTCGTAAATCTACGACTTTATTCTTGTAATATTATGACTTTATTCTCCTAACGTAGCGACTTTATTCTCATATTTAAGAAAAATAAAAATCTCTAGGCTGGCCCTAATACTCATTCCTGCGGTTGCCAATGGTAACCATTAAATAACACAGATCAGTGGGCTGATTTAAGAACACATGGACATTCATTTGATGCTTTAAATGGACCATTTACGGTTGAATATGGGCGGAGCCTTGTGTGCATACATTCCCATGGTTTGATGAAACCAAAATATCTTTTGATGGCACAATGCTTGGCTTTTCATTGCAAACTTTTAGTAAAGATCCTACATATTCTTTTATAAGGGAAAACTCTGACTTTTTTCTTTTCCTGACTTGGTTTTCAGGGGCAGGTCTGTGGGACCTCACGCCCGCTATGAACTTAATACTGAGCAATACACAAAAATACGCAAAGGCACAATATGCAAAAAACAAAAAAAAGAAAATTAAAGAAATAATTTATCTTTATTACACATTGAAAATTATAATAAACAAAGAAACAATAAGAATAATTCCAGGTGACATTTTACGTTATGTGTCATTTATCACTCTATTTAATCTTCTCAATTAATTCAGGATAAAGAAATATATATATGTGGCTTAGTAATGCTGCCTGTAGCAAAGAGACAGAATCAGTCCGATGAACGTCGGTACTTGTGGGGGAAAAAAGTTTATTTCAAACTTCTACACCTGAGAATTTAAACAGTACCGTGTTTTACTACAGAGAATATAAACGGTTCTTTTGCTAGCAGTCGTAAGAAAAAGTGAGAAACTGAAGGAAACAAATCCGTGTATCATTCGTTCTTTCTATTTTCAATTGTCAATCAAAAAACAAAAAATAAAAAATTGACTGGTTATTTTGTTTTTTGTTTTTTATGGTTAAACCAAAAACGAAAAAAGGATTTGTTTTTCATATATCAATTCTAAGCTCAGATCAAGAATACGAAATGGAAAAACGCAGAATTTGATTTTAATATTTAATCGGTACAGTTTACGTGACCCGGAAATAGCTCTTTGCGAGGCAGTGGGGTGATGAAGTGGCTACCATGGCGACGCTAGAACGCTGTTTGTTGTTGCTAGTTAAAAGTACAGTGCACAGAAAAGTTTCAAGAAAAAAGTTATACCTGGAAAATCCTGCTGATTTTCTCCGTTGTCATGTCCTCCTCCTTAAGAGTCACACGCTTGGATCCTCGACCGTAACTGTCCATGGCTGATAGGTCCGACTGCCTTATCTGGTGCAGCTTGATCGAACGTGGTGGGGGTAAGCATAGATATCCATAATAAAGCCTTTATTATGGATATCTATGGGGGTAAGCCAATTGTTTTTTTTAGCTAAAGCTCCACCAAACTTCCGGGTCACGTAAACTGTACCGATTAAATATTAAAATCAAACTCTGCGTTGCTGTCCGTTTTTCCATTTCGTATTCTAGATCTGAGCTTAGAATTGATATATGAAAAACAAATCCTTTTTTCGTTTTTGGTTTAACCATAAAAAACAAAAAACAAAATAACCAGTCAATTTTTTATTTTTTGTTTTTTGATTGACAATTGAAAATAGAAAGAACGAATGATACACGGATTGAAACAAATAAAGACACCAGATGTCTGAAAACAAAGGCCTTGACGTGTGATCACAGTGTAGCATGTTTCATTTCATAGTTTGAGATGTTAGCTGATGTACATAATTTCCCACGCGTTGAAACTTGTAAATAAAGAAAAGAAATGTCACCTTGAAAACGTCCCATAAAGATGCAGCCCAAACGGTGAACACTTAAAATAAAGCAATCAAATTTTATAGCTTTTATAACTACGACGGAATATTAGGGCAAAATTACAAGATTAAAGTCACCAAATTACTAGAATAAAGTCGTAAATTTATAAGAATAAAGTAATAATAATAATAATAATATTAGGGCCAGGTTAGAGAGTCTTTTATTTTATTTTGTGAATAAAGTCGTAATATTATGGGAATAAAATCATGAAATAATGAGATTAAAGTAAAAAATATCGAGAACAACCCGTTTCAGAAAGAAAGCTTGAAGCTCCGCCCAGCAGATCACGGCCGACCAGCTCCACCAATCAGCAACCAGAGTCCACTTTGAAATCCTGCCCAGTTTGATGCTGCTGCTAAAAGATTTCCTGATTTATCAAACTGATGCTAAAGTATAACTTCACATAATGCTCCTCATTCCTCATTTTAGGGAAGAAAGGGATTCTGGGAGGAATTTTACATAAAATACAACTTTATTCTCATAACATTAAGACCAGTCTTGTATAAAGTACTGGAATCGCGGAGTCAAGTAAAAGTACCTCTCCAAAATATGACTTTGGTAAAAGTCCAAGTCACTGACTGAAATGTTACTGGAGTAAAAGTCCTAAAGTATCTGAAATGGCTTGTACTTAACCTCTTACACCCTAAGGGGGTATAAATAAATTTCTGCCTGACAAAAACACACAAAAGTAAATAACTTATAGCCTCAAAGCTATTAGATTTAAGAAGAAACTTTTGGTACGTCTGTAAAGGTAAGATGTCATAGAATGGTTTTCTGGTGTCAGCACCATTGTAGCTTTGACCCTGCCTGAAATATTAGGGACAAAATACAAAATATTTTGCATTTTTTGAACCTCGCCAAAATTTTCTTTGAAATAAACATTGCAAAACACTACCAAAATATTATTTATAGCACAAAAAAGTAGTACAGACTTTCAAATCTAAATGTTGTGTAAAAATATACCAAATTTGGACTCAATCAGATGAATCATATTTATTTTAGAATGGTATTAGTGAGAAATTTCTTAGGTAGAGAGGCCATTTTGGCACATTTATCCATAAATGTCGCCAAACTGTGCCAAATATGTTTTTTACATCAATACTTGGGGTTTGGTAAAACTACGAGGTCACGTAGCAGCTGGACCCGCCGGTGGGTCCGTAGGGTTCTAGGGGTTAAGTATAAGGATTACTGTAAGAATAGATGTACTCAAGTAATGTAGTGAAAAGTAGAAGTAAAAGTAGTGCAGTTTTAATGACATTTTTTTTTACATTTTGTTAAACTTTGAAGGTTAAATTCACTTAAAATAACAAACAACCAAGTGTAGGATAAATTTAGACTGGCTTTGCGAAACAGGCGTATCCTATTGGTGTTGATGAACGAGCCCAGGCAAGACCCGACTTTGTAGTCAGTAGGCGGGGTCAAAACACTTGCGTTTCTCTCGCTCGTTTTTTTTTTTTTTTACTTAGTAACCAAACCAAACATTGAAAAATGTATCGGAGTAAAAGTATGCAATTAAATTCGTAAATGTAGTGAAGTGTAGTGATACTCTTGCAAAGTATAAAGTACTCCACAAGTACAGTAGTGAAGTATTTTTACTTTGTTACTATACAACAGTGATTAAGACTTTATTCTCATATTATTACTACTTTATTCTCGTAATATTATAACTTTATTCTTGTAATTTTATTACTTTATTCTTATAAATTTACGACTTTATCCTAGTAATTTGGTGACTTTAATCTTGTAATTTTGCAACCTTATTCTCTAAATAAAAACAATTTTTTTTGCCTTGCCCTAATACTCCATCGTAGATAACGTTCAGTAAATCTCCGTCTCTACGTAAAACGTATAATTTCCTATCAGATCATGGCTATATACGTGGACTCCTCTTCCTTGAGGTTGAATCTAAAGCAAACTAGCTAATTCCAGAAGGTGGGTCACATTGTGAATTTCTTGAGTTGATCTTTTCCTTCTTTAAGAGAAAAGTTTGGGTTTGTTTTCTTCACAGCAACTTTGTCCTTTTATTTGATTCGTTTTGCGACATCCAGGTAGGCGAACTCGATCTCCCTTTCTGCAGGACAGGTACTGGTAAACTCTTTCCTTTGGTAGGCACAGGTCAAATATCTCCACACGCCAGTCATCTCTGCAGGGATCTCCAAACCACGATACTTCTTCACCACAACCTACAGGAGAAAGCAGAAAGCAATGAGCAACGCTAACCACTAACCCTAATCCTATGCTTCGGTGAGCAAACCTTTAAAATGTGCAGCTTAGGTAGCAGGTTACAGTCTGCGAGGCTGAGATCAGGCCCATCCAGGAAGTTCCTGGATGACTCCGGCAGGTCACCAGCTGCATCAGCATCAATCTCCTCTGACAGGGGCGTCCTCAGGAAGTCATCGAGATGACGAAGCGACTTTAGCAAGGCTTTCTCTAAGGCTGTAACCACAAAGGAACCGATTGACTTTGTTTGTACTGTCATGAATTTACAGTTATGTTTGTGTTTTTGCAAACAGCACTTATTATCATAACGCATCATTAAAGAGTCTGACAGAGTCCCCAAACGTGGCAGCCAAAAGGCGAAAAGGAAGAGTCACAGCCTACAGCTTACCGCTGTCCCAACTTGACGATTTAGACCAGCGTATGCCTGACGTAAGAGAAATCAGGCAAAACCCTGGAATACAATAGATAAGTACGTTTTTTATAGCTATGAGCATGCTGAAGAACGCTGGCGTATGTCCACGTACGAAAAGTAGGTCAAGAAATTTTGAGCATATATTTTGAGGTATAGATAATGATCCGTTGATTATTCCTTGCTGACTGGACTTCTTGTTTCACATAAAAAATAATATAACATGTCTGGACCCTGTATGATGATGACACACTACTTTGTCTTGGTCAGTCACACCAAATCTCAGCTGTGGATTCCTAGAACCCTGAACCTGACTGAACTCTCTGTGGATTCCTGGTACCCTATACCTGCCTGAACTCTCTGTTGGACTCCTGGAACCCTGAACCCACCTGAACTCTCTGTTGGAGTCTTGGAACCCTGAACCCGCCTGAACTCTCTGTTGGACTCCTGGAACCCTGAACCCGCCTGAACTCTCTGTTGGAGTCTTGGAACCCTGAACCCGCCTGAACTCTCTATTGCACTCCTGGAACCCTATACCTGCCTGAACTCTCTGTTGGACTCCTGGAACCCTGAACCCGCCTGAACTCTCTGTTGGACTCCTGGAACCCTGAACCCGCCTGAACTCTCTGTTGGAGTCTTGGAACCCTGAACCCGCCTGAACTCTCTGTTGGACTCCTGGAACCCTGAACCCGCCTGAACTCTGTTGGACTCCTGGAACCCTGAACCCGCCTGAACTCTCTGTTGGACTCCTGGAACCCTGAAACCGCCTAAACTCTCTGTTGGACTCCTGGAACCCTGAACCTGCCTGAACTCTCTGTTGGAGTCTTGGAACCCTGAACCCGCCTGAACTCTCTATTGCACTCCTGGAACCCTGTACCTGCCCGAACTCTCTGTTGGACTCCTGGAACCCTGTACCTGCCTGAACTCTGTTGGACTCCTGGAACCCTGAACCTGCCTGAACTCTCTGTTGGACTCCTGGAACCCTGAACCCGCCTGAACTCTCTGTTGGACTCCTGGAACCCTGAACCCGCCTGAACTCTCTGTTGGAGTCCTGGAACCCTGAATCTACCTGAACTCTCTGTTGGACTCCTGGAACCCTGAACCCACCTGAACTCTCTGTTGGACCCTTGGAACCCTGAACCTGCCTGAACTCTCTGTTGGAGTCTTGGAACCCTGAACCCGCCTGAACTCTCTATTGCACTTCTGGAACCCTGTACCTGCCCGAACTCTCTGTTGGACTCCTGGAACCCTGTACCTGCCTGAACTCTGTTGGACTCCTGGAACCCTGAACCTGCCTGAACTCTCTGTTGGACTCCTGGAACCCTGAACCCGCCTGAACTCTCTGTTGGACTCCTGGAACCCTGAACCCGCCTGAACTCTCTGTTGGAGTCCTGGAACCCTGAATCTACCTGAACTCTCTGTTGGACTCCTGGAACCCTGAACCCACCTGAACTCTCTGTTGGAGTCTTGGAACCCTGAACCCGCCTGAACTCTCTGTTGGACTCCTGGAACCCTGAACCCGCCTGAACTCTGTTGGACTCCTGGAACCCTGAACCCGCCTGAACTCTCTGTTGGACTCCTGGAACCCTGAAACCGCCTAAACTCTCTGTTGGACTCCTGGAACCCTGAACCTGCCTGAACTCTCTGTTGGAGTCTTGGAACCCTGAACCCGCCTGAACTCTCTATTGCACTCCTGGAACCCTGTACCTGCCCGAACTCTCTGTTGGACTCCTGGAACCCTGTACCTGCCTGAACTCTGTTGGACTCCTGGAACCCTGAACCTGCCTGAACTCTCTGTTGGACTCCTGGAACCCTGAACCCGCCTGAACTCTCTGTTGGACTCCTGGAACCCTGAACCCGCCTGAACTCTCTGTTGGAGTCCTGGAACCCTGAATCTACCTGAACTCTCTGTTGGACTCCTGGAACCCTGAACCCACCTGAACTCTCTGTTGGACCCTTGGAACCCTGAACCCGCCTGAACTCTCTATTGCACTCCTGGAACCCTGTACCTGCCTGAACTCTCTGTTGGACTCCTGGAACCCTGAACCTGCCCAAACTCTCTGTTGGACTCCTGGAACCCTGAACCTGCCCAAACTCTCTGTTGGACTCCTGGAACCCTGAACCTGCCCAAACTCTCTGTTGGACTCCTGGAACCCTGAACCTGCCCAAACTCTCTGTTGGACTCCTGGAACCCTGAACCTGCCCAAACTCTCTGTTGGACTCCTGGAACCCTGAACCTGCCCAAACTCTCTGTTGGACTCCTGGAACCCTGAACCTGCCCAAACTCTCTGTTGGACTCCTGGAACCCTGTACCTACCTGAACTCTGTTGGACTCCTGGAACCATGGATCTGTCTGTTCCTGTTCTAATAGGAACCCCTGACTGGGCTACAGTCTCCTGGATCTCAGAACTGTCCTGTTCTGAACTGTTTCCCTGACCTGGATCGGATTCATGCTCAGTCACTGGGGCTGCAGCACCTGCTTCACTCTTCATCTCGGTGGCAGTCCACCGGCTGGATCCTGCCTCGCTCTGAGAGAATGGACTGAACTTTCAAAGCAGGTAAGTGACTCACATGGATAATCATCTTCCGTCAGATTATCGTGGTCACTTACCTGGATTTCTCTCTAACCAAAGTTGACACTGATGGGCGGTGCCCTGCCTCCCCTCCACTGTGAAATTCTGTTATTTCAACAATAAAAACACTTTGAATAAAATAAAATACATATACTTTTTTGAGTGTCTACTGTTTACTCTGGTGTTGTGGTGTTATTGTCTATTATGATAATGTTTAGGTAATTTGAAATCAGACACTCTCCATTGGCAAATCAATGTGGTCCAACAACAAAGATAAGAACAACACAAACACTTCTAGAAGAACTGCGTTAATTTTGATTTTTGACATTTTCTTCTGTTTTTCAACCTTATCCAGTTCCAGGAAATAGATTTTATTAAAGACATGAATAAACAAAAATATTATTATGAAGACCCAGAAAATAAACACGGGAACATATAATATTTCCACTATACTAGCTTTTATTTTATTGTGCTTTTTCTTTGAAGTGTTTCAAATAAACTGGTTCTAACAGCACAGGAGAACCTCACAGTGCAGGTCTGCAGCCAGACTCTATTGAGATTTATGTTTTCAGCATGTTTTCATGGGGGCACAGAAAAGTATGAAGTAAAATAAAAAACGGACGGGTTTCAATATATTTATATATCTGCATGAAGTGAAATTATTTTTGGCTTGAAAATGTTCATTTGGATTATCATTAAAATAAAAATAAAAATCCCTTAGCATAGCAAAAAAACAACTCAAAAAATTGTAGCTCTATAAATATCTAAAAGATCAAATACAGCTATTATATGGAAATATACATTTATAATTTAGGAATTTTACATAAATCTCACCTAACTAAGTTATAATTAAAATCTGAATTAGAACTCAAGAAAAACTGATAAATTCAGCTGTAAAAATTACTGGGATCCTAGTTCAATAGTACTGTCGCTATCAACTTATTGTTTTTAAATAATTAACAAAACATTAATTTTTAAAGAAAAAAATGAAACAGAACCAAAGGAGCTCTCAGTAACTGTGTCTGTTCCAGTTTATATATCATCTTTAGAACTTCTTTGAGTATAATGTCTCCAGTACAGGGGCCAAAACGGGGGCCAGGACGTGATCTACAGGGGCACTGGCCCCCCTTGGTCCCTGTCTAGTACCACTCATGGATAAGATCCTGATCCAAAGGCGGATATAGATTCACAGAGAATTGCAAATCCTTTTAAAATCATAGACAGTTCCTGTTCCTTACCACTAGAGGGCAGTGTCTAGCTTCTCCAGTAAGGTTATGCAAAAGGATCAAACCCTTCCACTAAAGTTTCTCACCCATAATCTGTCTCCTACCTATAATGGAATATTAGGGCCAGGCTAGAGATTTTTATTTTAAATAAAGTTGTAACATTATAAGAAAAAAGTTGTAATATTATGAGAATAAAGTCTTAACATTAGGAGAATAAAGTCGTAATATTACGAGACAAAAGTCTTAACATTTCGACAATAAATTTGTAATATTACGAGAATAAAGTCATAACATTATGAGAATAAAGTCGTAACATTATGAGAATAAAGTCGTAACATTATGAGAAAACGTTGTAATGTTACTAGAATAAAGTTGTATCATTGCCAGAAAAAAGTTGTTACATTATGAGCATAAAGTTGATTTTATTATGAGAATAAAGTCTTAAAATTACAAGAAAACAGTCATAAAGTTATGAGAATAAAGTCGTAATATTACAAGAATAAAGTCGTAACATAATGGGAATAAAGTCGTAATATTATGAGAATAAAGGTGTAACATTACAACAATAAAGTTCTAACTTTACGAGAAAAGCCTTCATTTACAAGAATAAAGTGTTAACATTACGAGAATAAAGTCTTCAAATGACGATAAAAAGTTGTAATATTATGAGAAAGTATGACTTCGACTTTATTCTTGTAATTTTACAACTTTATTCTTGCAATGTTACAACATTCTTCTCGTAATAGAAGTACTTACCATCGTTGGTGTCTCTTCTTGGGTTTTTGATGTAAGCAGAAAACTTGGCAAAGATGTCGATTCCTGCTGTGTTGGCTTCATGATGTTTGGGAGCTAGTCTGGGGTACCTGGTTTTTAAGACAAAAAGATCCGATTAACTGACAGCTGTTATATCTCTGCTGGTAGCCCGTCATTGAGGTAGGTATGAATGTAATCTATGTCTCTGTGTGCGTATGTACCGAGGTGGAGCCAGTTTCTCCTCCAGGAACTCCTCCATCTTGTTAACGTCAACCTTGACCTCACCATTAAAGGTTATGAAAGGAGGGTTGATCCCTGGAGCGAGGTCCTGCAGGTTGGCTGGTTTTCTGAAGGTTCAAACAGAACCGACAACTGATTCAAGAAGAAACGTGTTCTAAGGCGGACGAACAGGACGCGTTCTTTACCTCTTAACGTCCACCGTGGTGACGGTGAAGACGACGCCTTTCAGCAATAAGATCATGAAGATTCTCTGGGAGAAGGGGCAGTTCCCGATGCTCTCTCCATCGCTTCCTGCCTGAACACATGTAAACCAAGACATTAAAATCCAGGTGTTTCCATCTAGTCTCTGTTATTAAAACACATTAAATCATTTTTAAGACAGAGTTTGAGAAATGATCCACTGGATAAATCCAGCATATATCCTATAAAAGGCAAACTGTCTCTCATAATTCACTTCTTTGTCACCTTCAAGCGTAACAATGAAGGACACAACATTTGCCATCTACTTAAGAGGAGCTCATTTCCGTTTTGGAGACTTAGAAGTGGAGGACAACTTGAGCATTGCTTTCAAATCTTCCAAAGATACCAACTTCCAAATAATTGGTATCTCATTTGCTGAGTTGGGATCCAGTGGCTGCGTCCTCAGAAGGTCATAAAGCGCAACAGAGAGACCAAGTATTCAAGAGACAGTCAGCAAGAAAGTTCAAAACGTTTATTAAAATAAAACAGACAGAACAGAACAGACAGTTGTGGCTCCTTTGCTGGTCCTTGTTGGGTGGGGCACCGTCCAATCACGGACACTTTGAAGGGAGAAACACAGGTAAGTGACCAAGATAATCTGATGCAAGATGATTATCCGTTTGGTTCACTTACCTGGTTTGAGAGCTCAGTCCATCCCCTTTGAGACAGGTGAGATCCAGCCAATGGGCTGGGGCCGCCCAGAGTGTCCCCGATGCTGCAGCCTCGGAGAACATACAGCAGGCCGATTCAGGTAAGGGGAAAACAGAGCAGGCCAGAAAAGTCCAGGAATCCAAGAGTCCACAGCTGTTCCGAAGTTCTGACCCAAATCAGGAACAGAAGGATCCAGACTTCCAGGAATCACAGAGTCAGACGGGTCCAGAAGCGTGCCCACACAGACACGCACAGATGGAGACGGGCAGGATAAGATGAAGACGGGCAGGATAAGATCAAGACGTGCAGGATAATATGCAGACTAGCAGGCTCAGCGAGAACAGAAACAAGACGTAGCACCAGGATTTCTGCAGGAAACTTTAAACTGGTCTCCTCCTAGGAGCCAGGCTTACAGGAATAAAACTGACTTTCTCCACGTTCTGAGCCAAAACCCTGAGGGCTCTGCGGAGAAGAACCACGATACGATCAACAAACAGGACAAACACTCAAACCCCCTCACTCCGCTGGCCGCCATGAACCAGGACATGAACCATGGAACAATCTAAAATCACCAAACAGACAAAAAACAATAATGATCTGGCCTGATCGCTCGGGCTGAACCGAATATAAAGCTCAAACGCAGGTGGAAAAGATGAGTGAACATTAGGAACCGTGCAAAGCTAGGCAGGTAAGTGAAATTAAAAGCTAAGGTGAAACTATCAGGCCAGATCATGACAGCCAGATTCATCCGTTGATTATGTCATAGCACGGCCCTGTGGCTGCCCTACCGTGCCACTCAATTTCCAGTGATGATTCTGCTTAGCAGTGTGACGAACCTCAACATGTGTAGTTTCCTGCGTCTGGAAGCCCTGATTAGACTATGGTTTGTCGTATCCACTTCCCAAAACTCTGTCAAGGAAATTCACCAAAGGCTGCCTTCTTCTCCTGACTCTCAGCTAACTTCCTGAATGTAATAGTAGTACCGTAGATGAACACTAGGAGGCGAGGAACCATGCTAGCGTGGTGTTTTAACAGTCGTAAGGAACCAAGCTCGGCACGGTTCAGTTTTCAGATTTTAGTGTAAATGTTGCTAATGTCTCTTTGATAAGGACAGAATGAGGGCCATAGTTATAATAACAATCTAAATAGCACATGTAGCTAATTGCTAATTGACAGCTAATACTAGTGTTGGGTCAGTCTTCCTTTTAAAGCACTAGCGGTGGTTTATCTCTAAGTACAGAAGCATCTACAGTTTGGTAAAATAAATCAGAGAAAAGCACATCTGTGAGTTTCTAATGACCTATTTTAATTCGATTTTTACAGTTTATTTCTATAGTGCTGATTTACAACACCTATTATCTTTACAGTTCACCAGATCATCAAGTCAGATTGATCCAAAGTAATTAATCAATTTGACTTAATGTGGAATCTTTAAACTGTAGGTTCCATTACATCTCTTGGACTTTTCTAGGGACAGTCCTGCAAAAGCTTCTCTGTCCAGCTGGCTGACTTTCCTTTCTCTGAGGCTCCTTTAGAGGGTTGGGGTACCGCAAGGTTCCCTCTTAGGATCTACTCTCTTCTCTTTGCACTTTCTTTGAGTTTTATAGATGACACCCAGAGATGGAAGTATTCTGTTAAGGATGTGTTAAAGTGACCATATATGGATGGATTTTTGCTGTTTTAATCAAAACAAAGCAGAGGTACAGTAGCAGCCATTGGAAATGGCTCTCCCCAGTCAAAAGCCCAATGGCAGCAATTTCCCCTCCAACTTCCAGCCACTGGCCTTCTCCTGGGCGTGAATATTTTTTTACTCTGACTCCACCCTTTCACTTAATTACAGGGTCTGACCAGGAGATGATGCTTTAAGCCAAGGACCACCAAACGACCAGCCAAAGACCAGTCAAGGACCAGCCAACGACCAACTAAAGACCAGCCAAGGACCAGCCAAGTGCAGGTCAAGGACAAACCAAAGACAAACCAAGGGCCACTTAAGAGCCAACAAATGACGAGTCAAGGACCAACAAAAGACCAGCAAACCATCAACCAAGGCCCAGTCAAGGGCCAACAAAAGAAAAGAAAGGACTAGCCAAGGCCCAGTCAAGAGCCAACCAATGACCAGCCAAGGACCAGTCAAAGACAAGCCAAGGAAAAACCAAGGGCCAACCAAGGACAAGTCAAGGACTAGTGAAGGATCAACCAAGAACCAACCAAGGACCAGTGAAGGAAACTCCAAGGGCCAACCAACGACCAGTTAAAGGGGAACGCCGTTTTTTTTTTTTTTTTTACATTGGGCCCTTGATTTTACGTTATTACATCATGTTCTACTCACCCATACAAGTTTTGTGTCATTTCGAGCCGTTCTGAAGGTATTCCGTTAGGTTATATCCAAGTAACATCTTCCTATGGGCAACGACTTGAAGGCACAAACTAAACTGTTCATCATTTATTCTTTATGGTACGCCAGCATTCATAACCAAGGGCCAGCCAAGGACCAGTCAAGGAATAGCCAGGGACAAACAAAGGGCCAGTTAAGGACCAACCAATGACAAGTCAAGGACCAACAAAAGACCAACAAAGGACCAGCCAAGGACCAGTCATGGACCAGCCAAGGACCAACCAAGGACCAGTCAAGGACCAGCCAAGGACCAGCCAAAGACTAGCCAAGGACTAACCAATGATGAACCAAGGACCAGCCAAGGGCCAGCCAAGGACCAACCAAGGACCAACCAATGACCAACCAAGGAGCAGTCAAGGATCAACAAAAGACCAGCCAAGGGAGAGCCAAGGGACAGCCAAGGACCATTCAAGGACAAGTCAAGGCCAAACCAAGGGCCAGTTAAGGACCAACCAATTAGAAGTCAAGGACCAACAAAAGACCAACCAAGAACCAGCCAAACACCAGCCAAGGACCAAAAAAAAGACCAGCCAAAGACTAGCCAAGGACTAACCAATGATGAACCAAGGACCAGCCAAGGGCCAGCCAAGGACCAACCAAGGACCAGCCAATGACCAACCAAGGAGCAGCCAAGGACCAGTCAAGGATCAACAAAAGACCAGCCAAGGGAGAGCCAAGGGACAGCCAAGGACCATTCAAGGACAAGTCAAGGCCAAACCAAGGGCCAGTTAAGGACCAACCAATTAGAAGTCAAGGACCAACAAAAGACCAACCAAGAACCAGCCAAACACCAGCCAAGGACCAAAAAAAAAGACTAACCAAGGACCAGCCGAGGACCAGTCAAGGACCTGCCAAGGAACAGCGTAGGATTAGCCAAGGACCAACAAAAGACAAGCCAAGGACCAATCAAGGACCAGTCAAGGAAAGAGGGTTATTTTTCAATGGCTGCGACTGTAACTCTTTTTCAGCTTCGGTTGACTAGACCATTCAACCAGACCTTTTAGGTCTCTCCACTCATTTAGTCTTTGATATGTTTGATTTTTCTTACATTTTTGTGTCTTTTTTTACCCAGTATTTCTTGATTTGTTTATCTTATCTGTGTAACAACCTTTAATTTATTCATAAGAGCAACAGAGGTGTTTAATCAAAGAGTAGCAGCAGAGGTTTAAATGACCGAAAGTCAAACTGCTTCAAACTGGTAAAGAATCTCAGCAGTAAAATGAGGGTAGGATCACAAAACAAAGGTTCCTCTGATGTTAGACGCACACTTTTCAAATCAAATGGGGAAAAAATGAAAATGAAAATATGTTTTCTAATTATACTCTTCTATCAGTTTTGTCATGCAGTTACAAAATACTTAGAAACAAGGTTGTTAAACACAAATTCATACTTAATCCCAAACCCGGTCGATGAGCAAACAATTGGTAAAACATGTCGTCATTGTTTGAATTTATCAAAAGTGTTTCTGCTCTCACAGGACAGATTTTTACTCTTTTTAACATCTAACAGACGTTAGCATCTGTGGTCAGCAGCTCTACTAAAGCAGGAGACCTCGGCATCAAATAGCCAGTTAATCAGCTTAGAGAGCCAGAATGAAGAGCTTAACCTCTGAGGAACAGAGGAACGCTGGTTTATACGTCAGAAAGAAAAGAGACAAACTAGATCAAAGGTGTGTGAATCCAGTTGCTGAGGGTCGCTATCCTGCAACTTTTAGATGCAACCTTTAGATGCATCAAGTAAGTAGATGATTGAGAGGACTCTGGAGGAAATGACTGCATCCTGAGGAGGTAAATCAACCATTTCATTCAGGTGTGATGGACCAAGGATGGATCTAAAAGTTACAGAATACTGGCCCCCAGGAACCGGGATTGCCCACCCCTGATAGAAGAGCGGAGGCCGTGCCATCCACACAGAAAACACCACACCCACCCAGTTAACTTTTCCATGACGCTTTCGTCCACCTGGGTCAGTGCCACGGGGCCCCTGGATCAAAAAGCCTTTGTTTAAATGAGAGGTCTCGTGGTGCGTAAGCCAGTTGTGCAAATGTTTGAGGCCCCGCTGTAGAGTTGGACCTCTGCTAAATCCCTCTGTTTTTCACGTCCCCTTTCCAAAACCACCCCTCTAAGGAGCCACTGTGTGGTGACGAAGGTTACGCCACTCTGTATTCAGATCTACAGTCAGACAGTAAATCATCATCGAGAGTGATGGATGAGCTACGCAGTGTCTGGCGGCGTTAATCAGGCCCCGGCTGCTCGGACTGCTGGCCTCAGGTAGAGCAGGGGCCCCGCCTGTTGGATTAGAGCAGCTCTGGACTAATAGGATAAAGACAGCAGTGTGTCGGACACACACACACACACCAGTGGTCCCAGTGGGTGTGTGTTCTTAGTGAAATACTGAAAGCTGAATTCCTCAGCCGCTATAATCAGATCATTTGACGTCTTTCACCTAAAGTTTGTCTCACTTTGGAGTCCAGTCGCTTTTTGTTTATTTTTGGTTTTAAAGTCGTGGGCAAATCATATTTAAATGTCAACTCATTCTGGCTTTAACATGTATATAAATGTATTCTTTATCAGATCATAGTGACCCAAAATTTAGAAAATTTGTATTTAAAAAAAACTCCCATTAAGATGCTCCCAGTGTTCACGGGGATGGACGTCTGTGTCTTCGGCAGGCGTAGAGCTAACAGAACTGGCAGCGTTGCGAGGCAAGGGCTCAAACATGTACGGCTGGAAGCCTTCTACACCAAACCAAGCTTCTGCCGCCCTGGCGTCCTCTTCCACAACATCTTCGTCCCCGCTTTCCTCCTCTAAATAAAAAATGGATGACGGAGGAGATTCATCCACGACCTCCGACACTAAACTCTCCTCCTCTTGCATGTTTCCGCTGTCCATAGCGTTCCTTGACAGCGTCGTTTCTAAAGGGCAGATAATACTTCTGCAACCTCACACATCAAATGTTGTTTGCGTCTGGTCGCAAACCAGTTTAGCTGGTATGCTTCTGCAACGTCGGTCTGGAATTTCTAGGGACACACAGAAGTTTCCCGCCAAAGGGCAAGGGGGAGCCTATTCGAGAACTCGCTCGAACTTCAGGGCCGGGGGGAGTGTTTATCTTCCAAAACAATAATGGCGCATCTGCAAGATATCACGGTCACAGAGATGGATCTAGAGTTGCTAGACATTGAAGAGGAACAGGTTCTGTTAATGGAGTTGCCAGAAAGACCGATTAACCTTTTGTTGTAGTTGTTCATTGTAGTTGTTCCTCGGTTTTTAAAAATGGCGTGCCCCGGCACCGAATTGAGGACGACCACATAGACAGCTGGAAAGACATACCAAAGACCATTTACAGCTGCTTTTTGTGTCCGCACTTATGCTTTAGGTCTGCGCGGGTTTGTGACCGTCCAACACGTAGTCAGGATTTTTTTGAGGTCCGCGACGACGGTTGCAGAACCTCTGCGCAGGGGGGGCGTGTTCACACACAGAGACAGATTTGACGATTCTAAAGGCTATGCATCAGAACCATAAATTAACTTTAAGTCACCAATTTAGTGCTACTTGGTCCCAATGGAATTTCCCATTGGGAACCTGCTAGCACTAAGTTGCTAACTGGTTAGCAAGATGCTTCCGACAAACCGGCCACAACCAAACATGCTTGCTAACCTTCTGCCACAACAATCCCGCCCCCGTGATAATCGACCAATCACATTCACTTTATTCACTCGTGTAAAGTCGGGCACCACTCGGAAATTAAACGGTTGGAACGGCCGCTTACCTACGACTTTAAGACAAGCTCCGATGCCTTCAATGACTGCCCGGGATTTCTCTGATAATGGTTACTAGAATGAAGACTTAAATGTTTTCAGTCCCTGCAGTCCCTGAACCAGAACTACATTGAAAAAAAGATCTACAAATAAGTAGAAATGTCTTCAGTTAATTGTATTTACCCTTAATTTGAGTAGGTCAATAAGGAACGAGTATTTTTACTCATTAATGAAATAAAATGCACTTAAAATTAACTACTCAATTCAAGAATAAATAACACAACTAACACAAAAGCGAAATCTAGATCAGTCATTTTTTCTTAAAATATGTGGATTTGTTCTTGAATTGAGGAGGTAAGAGAGACATTTTGCCAATGGAAGAAGACAATCTACACTTAAATTAGAAAAAAAACAATTGCATTGACTTATTTCAAGTGCATATTATCTAATTTACTTATTTGAAGAGTAAAAAATACTCACTCCATTGGCAAACTGTCTTATTGACCTACTTAAATTAAGGGTAATACATTAATTTAAGACATTTTTTACTTATTTCAAGATCGTTTTTCCAGTACAGGGAAACTAGGTCCACAGATCGCACAAAGCAGGCTGCAAGTACATCATGGAGCTAAAATGCAAATGTTAAATTTAACTATTTTTACATACTGCAAAAAAAAAAAAAAAAAAAAAAAAAATGAAATCTCAGTCATTAATTTTTTCTTAAAATCGGTGCAATTTTTTCTTAAATTGGGGAGGTAAGTGAGATATTTTGGCAATGGAACAAGACAATTTACATTTGAAATAAGAAAAAGTTATGGTATTGTCTTATTTCAAGTGCATTTTATCAAATTTTCTTATTTGAAGAGTGAAAATACTTATTACCTTGGCAGATTTACCTACTCAAATTAAGGCTAAATTCACCTAATTTTAGAATTTTTTTTTTTACTTCTTTCTAGGTTGTTTTGCAGTGCAAAAACTAACCGGTAAACAGTGGTGCAGTGCAAAAATTTTTATTCTAAATAAGTCATTTTTTCTTAAAATAAGAGCATTTTATCTTGAATAGAGGAAGAAAAGAGACACTTTGCCAATGGAACAAGACAATTTACATTTAAAATGAGAAAAAAAACAATAGCATTTTCTTATTTCAAGTGCATATTATCTAATTATCTTATTTCAAGAGTAAAAATACTCATTCCATTGGCAGATCATCTCATTTACCTACTCAAATTAAGGGTAAATACACTTGATTTGAGAAAAGTTTACTTATTTCTAGATCGTTTTTCCAGTGCAAGCACATCAGGAGACAGTAGCAGTGGGAGATGTGGAGTCAACACGTCATCTCTATCATGCAGAACAAATAGATGACTTGTTGACTCGACATCTCCAACCTTCTAGTAGAGGAAAAGTTCCCCCTCTCACTAAAAAGGTGAGACCCCTCCAGTTCTGGAAGCTATAGGCCTATAGACTATAGTAAACCACCACTCTAATGGGATGTTAAGGTCACCGTATGTCCACCAGTATGGTCACGTGGCTCTCTGTCCTCCATTTGGCTCAAGGTCTTTCCCCTGTTGGGTCATTCTTTAAATGTGGTTCCTTTACAGCTGAATCAAGGTGTATTTTCTGTAAATATAAATATTTTTTATAATATGAAATACAAGCTATGGTCTATTATATAATCAAGGACATTAGTCCTACTTTTCTGCATATTGTTTTCTAAAATGTTTTTTTTTGTGTGTTTATTTTCCACTATTTCATTTGCAAAAGTAAAAAAAAAGACCTACTTATTTGTTCCATACTTATATTAAAACAAATGTATTATTTAAAATACAAAATAGCTTTATTTCATTTTCATTGTTAAAAATGTAGCTTTAATGTTTGCTCACTGAAGTAACCTTGGTGACTGTCCCTTTAACAAAGCTCCACCCACTTCCCCTTGACTTTGGCCGTTTCTTAATTCATTAGAAAGCGAGTATGGACTCGTGTTCTCGCCAAGTCCGTTCTTGAGATGAACAGAGCAAAGTCTGGACTTGGGGAGAACGGAAGCACGCAGAATAAATAAAATAAATCTGGCTCAATTGGAGCAGAAGCGTCCTGATGACATCACCACATTCAAAGCTAGTCTCGAGCTGCATTTCACACTCTATTATTGATGGTCTCTAGATAATAATAAATTCTGACTTTTTTCATTTAGTGGAGGAATAATGATGAACAAAGTCAAATAAACACTAATCAAATTAACATTTACCAAATAAAACAATCAAACCTCCATCAGAGCCAGCGGCCGAGGCTAACGTTAGCCCGTCTGCAGCAGCCAGGGCTAACGTTAGCCCGTCTGTAGCAGGCGGGGTGAACCTTAGCCCGTCTGGAGCAGCTGGGGCGAACGTTACCCTGTCAGCAGTGGCCAGGGCTAACGTTAGCCCGTCTGTAGCAGCCAGGGCTAACGTTAGCCCGTCTGCAGCAGCCAGGGCTAGCGTTAGCCCGTCTGTAGCAGGCGGGTCGAACCTTAGCCCGTCTGGAGCAGCTGGGGCGAACGTTACCCTGTCAGCAGTGGCCAGGGCTAACATTAGCCTGTCTGCCCGCTTTTGTTTTTTTCTCTGGTCACAGAACTAGAATTGAGTTATTACAAGAACAGCATTTTTTACAAAATTTATACTACAATCAGAGATTAACCTTTTTTTTTGAAAAATCTTAATCTCTATTGGGTTTGACCAAAGTCAACCACATCCTGAGATCTTATTAGATGAGAATGTATAACATGAGTTTTGCTGAGGAGTCACTATAATGTTTATCTGATTAACCTAATTCTAGCTCAAGACCTGGATTGAACTGGATTGAACTGGTTTTGTTGATGTTGTTTGTTGCTGTGGAAGTTCTTGTTTCCTCACCTTCACATAAAGACAGATCTCATGGTCTTGATCCTGATGGGTTCTGCTGTCCCTGTGTCCAGGACACTCCGGGCCCTCCACAGTCCTGGGGAAGATCAGGACCTCCTCTCGCTCCTCCAGAATCATCTCCTCGCGCTGCGGCGTGTAGGAATGTCCGTCCTCCATTAGCACCACCCGCTTCTTCTTCACCTGGTCGTCTTTTCTTCTGGACTGGGACTCGTCTTTGATGACGGACTTTAACTCTTTTATCCAGTCCTCCTTCTCCACTGAACATCTCTGTTCCTGCAAAGGTTCCTTAATCCTCCATTCTTGGCCTCTCCTCTCATTCCCGCGGCCGGTTTTCCTAAAAGGCCTCAACTCTTTCCTCCAGTCCTTCGCTTCCTCTCCATTCCCTTCACCTGGTTGGTCTCTTTTAATCCAGCCATCATCTTTTCTCGTGGCAGATACCACTTTGGGTTTCCTCCATCCCTCTTTCCAAAGAGGTTGCGGTTGAACCCCTACAGTCCGATTCTCTTGCCCCAGCCCTTGACCTTCTCCATCCTTCTCTAAACATTTCTCTCCATCATCATTCATTTCGTTCTCATTTGATTTCTCTTCCTCTCCATCCTTGATGACGAGCTGTATACCCTTTTCTTCTTGATTTTCCTTGTTTCCATTCCCAGCATCCACCGTCTCTTCTTGGATGTCTTGACTCTCCTCGCCTTCCATCGATGTGCTAAATGGCCTATTCACATCCTGACTGCTTGGGATTGCGGTGGTCTCTACCACATCATCGTCTAACACAGTGACCGGTTCCTCTGCCAGCTGCCCTTCTCCTCCTGTAGCTCGTTCTTGCTCTATCTCCGTCTCATCTTCACCACCCTGTAGCCTGTCTGTCTGATCTATTTCTGACTTTCTGAGACCTTGTGATGGGTACTCCTCTGCTCTCCCTGGTATATCTGTTGTAGAAGTGTTTCCTTTTAATGGGACTTCTGTGTTTCTCTCCATCTGAGGTGCTTCCTTCTCCATAACATCACCACCTACAGGATCATCCTTCACCTGCTGCTCATTGGTTTGTGAAGGACCTTCTGTAGACGAGTCTCCAAGCTGAAGAAACGTCTCTTTCTGTTCCTCTGAAAGACCTCTTCCTTCATGGTTTTCTTGAAATGCTAACTCTCTGATAACTTCATGGAACATCAGACTGGCATCTACATCGTCCTTCGTACCGTCAGCTTCATGCTGTCGTTCCTCCTGACTAATCCTGGCTCCTATTCCTACCTCATCATCCTCACTCTCTGACCGTTTTTCGACGGTTGAAGGGGCCGATGTTTCTGCGTCCTTCTCTTCACACATTTCACGTTCTGCCTTCGAATCCTCGTCAGAGTGGTCATCAGGAGAAACAGATATGGGGTTTTTACTGCCCTCCTGGACCTTTATCTCCTTGTTCTGCTTCTCAGTAGATATATGCTGTTCTACTGGAAACATGTTTATTATTAGGTCAAAGCATTTCTGTCCATCTTGGTCTTGATGGTTAGATGTTAGCTGGTCGCATTGAAAGGCCTCCCCTACATGTAAGCCGTCATTTCTCAGGCCTGGATCGCCATCAGCGCTAATGCTCTCCTTCATCGCACCAATAACTTTGGTCTGGTCTGCCACTATATCTAAGAAGTCGTCACTCCCAGATGGTTCCCCTTCAGTGCCAATGGTCTCCTTCATCGCACCAATAACTGGGGCCTTGTCATTATCTTGATCCAAGAAGTGGTCATTCCCAGGCGGATCCCCTTCAGTGCCGATGATGCCCTTCACTGCCCCATTAACTATGGTCTGATCTAAGCAGTCATCACTATCCGGTGCGAGGTTCTCCTTCATATCTGTTTCTTCATCGTTGGGGTGTTGGGTTGTGTTTTCAGAAAGTCTCCAAACAGAACCGTTTGTCCCGTCACCAGATCGGGCCAGACAGGCATCACAGGCGTCTTTGGGACTGGGATCCCAGCTGTTTGCCTCTGATATTGGATCTGTTTCTATTCTTTGTTCTGTTTCGTTTAGGTTGTGGATGACTTGATGGCTAACCCGATTAACCTCTGCTGCTACAGAAGAACCTGGATTATCAGAGAGGGTCTGACATTGTCCATCGAACTCTTCCTGATCTTCAGGTCCCTTATTTCCGTGTTCCTCCTCTTCCTCATTCTGACTTTGTTCTCTGGGCTCGTCCGCCACGTGCTCCGCCTCCTCCTGCCATACCGCAGCTAACATCAGGACATCTTCATCCACCTCCTCTGCTAGTTCCACATCTTCATATTCCCCCACCTCCCCCTCAGCCCCTCTGGGACTCTGGCCATCCGTATCAGAACATATGGCTACCGGGCTGTAGACGACGGCTCGGTTTGACAGGTCTGGCTGTTGGCAGGAGCTGAACTGAGCCATGAGGAACTTTTGATGAAAAGATGGGAAAATGTGACACCAGGTTCCCAGGAGAGACTCGACTTAAGGACTTTCTATGAGTTTCAGAGAAAGCTAAAAACGGACTCTGGACGGACAGGAAAAACAATTAATCTGAGTTTGCACACAAAACCTTTGGGTCTATCAGGATCCAGACATTATCAAAGAGATTAAAAAACAATTAGATAGAAAATAAAGAGCTTTTTCAAACCTTGATAATCATAGATGTAAAAATTTGTTGGTTTCTTCGCAATCCAGGCCCTGAAACATCAGAGAAGAAGAACTCCAGGAAGAGAATATGAATATTTTCCACTTGAAGGTTTGTTTTACGTCTTGATCTGAGGCTCCTGTGCTGCCGTCTGTTAGCCACTGCCTGATATCAACATGCACCACCTCCCTCCCTCCCTCCCTCCTTCTACTCCATTTAATCCCCCCCCCCCCCCTCTTTCCAGAGATTAGGCTGATCTCCAAATCACCACAGCCTCTAATCCCTGGATCCAGCAGCCAGAGGGAGGCTAACGCAGCCCAGGAGAACCCCTACTGGAACCTTCTCACTTCCAGCATTTAGAAACATTGATCCATCAGGTTCAATTCACATTAGAATAGCCTCTTGACCAGTAGTTCAAATTTGTCCTCTGTGGAGGATGTTTATAAAACCGAATATCGCATATTCACTCAATATTACTCAGTTAACTCCACACCAAGGGAGTGGCTTCTTAAGGAGACGTTCTCCTCCAGTCTGGCTCTATGAGTTCTGAAGCTCAGAGAAATGTGTTGCAAAAAGTCTGTTTTGCAGCAGTTTGGTCATGAGAAGTCAACCATCATGACTTTTCCTTGATCATTGTGGAGATCTGGGCCTTTGGGCCTGGTTCCATGGTTTTGTCTCTTCCCAGGCAGCTTCAGGGAAAGAGAGTGTGGTTTATACTTTTCCCAGCTCTGCGGGGGTTGGGGGGTGGGGGTGGGGGGTCTGGGTAAAACACCTTCCTCTTCTCCAGTGATCATGTAAGATAAAACGTGGACATTGTCCACAGTTATGATCATGGTTTATGGCACAATGATGGCGTCCATCAGTTCAAGCACATTTTACAGAAACAGGAAAAGTAAGTGAAAAATATGTATATATTTTTTTAGGAAATTTAGCCTTAAACTCTTAACAACACATTTGTCAGGATCCCTGTTTTTGTGTTCGTCTGTCTTGTCTTTTGTGTTTCTCCCTTCCACCACCAGGAGGCGCCTGGCTCCGGTTCGCCTCCTCACACGCCTGCAAGCTGTTGCCTCATCACCGGACTGCTCTTAAGCTGCTGGTTGCCACTACTTCGACGCCAGAGTGTTTGCCAGTTTGGGGTACTCTAGCCAAGCCTTGTTTATGCTGAGTCTAATCTGAGTTTTTGCATTTTGAGTTTTTGTTCTCTAGCCAAGCTGAGATCACATTGAGTTTTACTGAGCGCTTGTTTCTCCCTGAGTCTCAGCTTTGTTTGTTCTTTGCCTTTCGGCAGGAAGCCTTCCTGCAACTGGAGCTTTTCGGACCGCCTTCTCCCAAGTGGGATCAACTGAGTCACGCTGAGATCACTCTCTGAGTAAGGAGGTCATCTTCACCACGACCCCTTCAAATACCACAGGAAAACTGAGTTGCAACCAGCGGCTGCATCATTCCACTCCGTCCAAGTTCTGGGTAAACCCTGTTCCGCCCTCCACCGAATCAAACAAACCCTGGAGGACCAACACACAGACTGGAGTCTTTGGGCCGGATTTATCAAGATCCAATTTTGCGTGCAGTAATTTGCGCTCGCAAACTGGAATTTTGCGCGAGGGGCTGAACCATGGTTTGCGGGTGATTTAACAAGAGCGATTGCGTAACTAGTGGCAGGTGCAAAACTGTTGGAGACGCCCTATTTAAATGATGGATTTGCGCGTTTGGTGGTTTGCGGCATGGCGAGTTTGGACAGCAGAAGGCGCAAAAGGAAATTCGACCCCATGGAAATGGAGGTGTTGGTGGATGAAGCCAACAAACATTTTAAGTGAGCTACAGCAAAGAAGTGTGACTGTCACACAGAGGAATGCTATATGTGAACAAATCTGTAATAAAGTAAACGCTGTTGGTGAAACCTTGCGAACAGTGGATGAAGTAAAAAGAAGATACCAGGATATTAGAAGGCGAACCAAAGAAAAACTGGCATATAACAAAACATCTGCGAACAAAGCAGGAGGGGGCACAGTAGATGAGATGCCTCTGACCAGCATTGAGGAACAAGTACAGCTGACGCTCTGTGAGGAGCAAATCACTGGAATTGCAGCTCCAAAATGGCAATGCTGGATAAACGATATGTTTTGATGATCGTTTCCTCGTTCATTCCAAAAATATTCACACGGAGTGAAAAAATGCGTTCTCTGCGTCTCCTTGCTTCATTTCCATGTCTCCTTCTTGCGACAATAACCGCTGCCATGTGTGCGCAATTACGCATACAGACCATTTGCACCTTCTTTTGAAACGTGTTAAATATAGAGTCAGATACCGTTAGCAAAATTGCTTTCAGGTTTGATAAATCACTTTGCGAGTGCTAAATTAATATATTTACATGTTCTCCTCCCACAAGACGCACTTTTGCGTGTAAACGTCCCATATTGCATATTCATTGCAGAAAAAGTACTAAATGGATAAGAGGCGCTATTTAGCACGTTTTAAAGACCAAATCCTTTTAGCACGCTGTTGATAGATCAGTTTGTACATTTTTTAGCGTGCGCAGTGAAATAGCTCACGTTTTAATACACGCAAACCTTTGATAGATCCGGCCCTTTGTGTCTCTTCTTCTCTGGAAACGTGAGTGGCAACAAATCCTCTCCTTCAACATTAACAACTCCAATTCCCCACTGAGCCTGAATCTAACAGTCTGTCTTCCCCTCGTCTTCCAGTTCCTGGCCGAGCAGAGTTTGGAGGAACTCTGCACCCAACTCAAAATACTCTTCAATAAAACCTGTTGAACTTTTTCCCTGTGTCTCTGTTTGGCTTCACTGCATGTGGGTCCGAGCCTTAGATAAAATCATGACAACATTGAAACATGTTTTGGATTATTTTAATTGTCTTTTAACATAGTATTTCCACAGTTTTTTATGTTTATTTTCAAATAACAAATGTGGTCGGAAAACTTTAATTTTTCTTGTCTTATATATTTATTTTTGCTATTTATCCACTGAAAAATGTTTTTACTTAGTAAAAATGTCTGAGTGAGCGGTCTGAGGATTGATCTTTTTTTTCTCATAATGAGGTTTGTTGCATTCAGAAGCTCTGGTTAATAATTTGACTTATACCTTGAAGACTTAAAGGAGTCTATTTTTCGACTGATTTGACCTTTTCTCTTTCCAGGGAAACAAAAAGGGTAACTGATAATGACACACAACCAGGTAGCTGTCATAGTGTACAGGAACATCTGCCATGAGTATGGGCTGGAAGTCCCAAGGTCAAAATGGAAGACACCTCCTAAGGTAGATGAGAATGACCGAGCTAAGATCCTATGGGACTTCAAGATCCAGACTGACAAACAGGTGATGGCTAACCAACCAGACATCGTGTTGATCGACAAACAGCAGAAGAAGGCAGTAGTGATAGATGTGGCAATCCCAAGCGACAGCAACATCAAGAAGAAAGAACACGAGAAGCTTGAGAAATACCAAGGACTGAAGGAGGAGCTAGAAAAGATGTGGAAAGTAAGAGTCCCCCTGAAAATGAGAACATCATGGTTGCTCGATGCTGTAGCACAGATTGTTTACATAGTGACCGGTCTAACTAGGGAGTACCAATATGGCGGCCGGGGGCTTCACTTCATCCCCATACTACTACCAGGCAGTCAGCAATCCAGGGAACAAATAAAGATCAGTGATAGACATACACATAAGACCATACCCCGCATTGACTGTAGTGGCCCAGAAATTACGGGCGCCATCTTAGGGAGGTCAGCACTGTTCACATCAGGGCTCAAAGGCTAGGTTTGTGAAGGCATCAGAGCTTTGAAGACATTACTGAATAAACAGCACATTTACACTAAGAAACAAATGTATGATTGACTCTTAATCCCACTAATAATATTAAAGTGGGCTGAACCATTTGTTTGTTTTCAGAGAAAAAGTGAAAATTAGTTCAGTATTCAGCGAATTAAAGTTGATTAAAATTGATTCACAGCACATTACAGAGGTGTTGACCTCTCCAAGATGGCGCCAACAAATCACATCAGCACCCATAGGTGTAATTACCAAGAGGTCACTGGAAAAATAAAAAAGATAACTGATCTTTAAATATTACTTCAGTTTAATATGGGATAAAGTCAGAATTCTAACTTTAATCCCAGAATTCAGACTTTAATCTCAGAATTCTAACTCAGTTTATTTTTCCAGGTCCTAATCTCCTCCTTTTCTTTATTCTCCAGTGGGTCTGATCTCCTCCTTTTCTTTATTCTCCAGTGGGTCTGATCTCCTCCTTTTCTTTATTTTTCCAGTGGGTCTGATCTCCTCCTTTTCTTTATTTTTCCAGTGGTCCTATCTCCTCCTTTTCTTTATTTTTCCAGTGGGTCTGATCTCCTCCTTTTCTTTATTCTCCAGTGGGTCTGATCTCCTCCTTTTCTTTATTTTTCCAGTGGGTCTGATCTCCTCCTTTTCTTTATTTTTCCAGTGGCCCTGATCTCCTCCTTTTCTTTATTTTTCCAGTGGGTCTGATCTCCTCCTTTTCTTTATTTTTCCAGTGGTCCTATCTCCTCCTTTTCTTTATTTTTCCAGTGGGTCTGATCTCCTCCTTTTCTTTATTTTTCCAGTGGGTCTGATCTCCTCCTTTTCTTTATTCTCCAGTGGGTCTGATCTCCTCCTTTTCTTTATTCTCCAGTGGGTCTGATCTCCTCCTTTTCTTTATTTTTCCAGTGGGTCTGATCTCCTCCTTTTCTTTATTCTCCAGTGGGTCTGATCTCCTCCTTTTCTTTATTCTCCAGTGGGTCTGATCTCCTCCTTTTCTTTATTTTTCCAGTGGGTCTGATCTCCTCCTTTTCTTTATTTTTCCAGTGGCCCTGATCTCCTCCTTTTCTTTATTCTCCAGTGGGTCTGATCTCCTCCTTTTCTTTATTCTCCAGTGGCCCTGATCTCCTCCTTTTCCTTTCTTTCCAGTGGCCCTGATCTCCTCCTTTTCTTTTTTTTCCAGTGGGTCTGATCTCCTCCTTTTCTTTATTTTTCCAGTGGGTCTGATCTCCTCCTTTTCTTTATTTTTCCAGTGGGTCTGATCTCCTCCTTTTCTTTATTTTTCCAGTGGGTCTGATCTCCTCCTTTTCTTTATTTTTCCAGTGGGTCTGATCTCCTCCTTTTCTTTATTCTCCAGTGGGTCTGATCTCCTCCTTTTCTTTATTTTTCCAGTGGGTCTGATCTCCTCCTTTTCTTTATTTTTCCAGTGGGTCTGATCTCCTCCTTTTCTTTATTTTTCCAGTGGCCCTGATCTCCTCCTTTTCTTTATTCTCCAGTGGGTCTGATCTCCTCCTTTTCTTTTTTTTCCAGTGGGTCTGATCTCCTCCTTTTCTTTATTTTTCCAGTGGGTCTGATCTCCTCCTTTTCTTTATTTTTCCAGTGGGTCTGATCTCCTCCTTTTCTTTATTCTCCAGTGGGTCTGATCTCCTCCTTTTCTTTATTTTTCCAGTGGGTCTGATCTCCTCCTTTTCTTTATTTTTCCAGTGGGTCTGATCTCCTCCTTTTCTTTATTTTTCCAGTGGCCCTGATCTCCTCCTTTTCTTTATTCTCCAGTGGGTCTGATCTCCTCCTTTTCTTTTTTTTTCCAGTGGGTCTGATCTCCTCCTTTTCTTTATTTTTCCAGTGGGTCTGATCTCCTCCTTTTCTTTATTTTTCCAGTGGGTCTGATCTCCTCCTTTTCTTTATTTTTCCAGTGGGTCTGATCTCCTCCTTTTCTTTATTCTCCAGTGGGTCTGATCTCCTCCTTTTCTTTATTTTTCCAGTGGGTCTGATCTCCTCCTTTTCTTTATTTTTCCAGTGGCCCTGATCTCCTCCTTTTCTTTATTCTCCAGTGGGTCTGATCTCCTCCTTTTCTTTATTCTCCAGTGGGTCTGATCTCCTCCTTTTCTTTATTTTTCCAGTGGGTCTGATCTCCTCCTTTTCTTTATTTTTCCAGTGGCCCTGATCTCCTCCTTTTCTTTATTCTCCAGTGGGTCTGATCTCCTCCTTTTCTTTATTCTCCAGTGGGTCTGATCTCCTCCTTTTCTTTATTTTTCCAGTGGGTCTGATCTCCTCCTTTTCTTTATTTTTCCAGTGGGTCTGATCTCCTCCTTTTCTTTATTTTTCCAGTGGGTCTGATCTCCTCCTTTTCTTTATTTTTCCAGTGGGTCTGATCTCCTCCTTTTCTTTATTCTCCAGTGGGTCTGATCTCCTCCTTTTCTTTATTTTTCCAGTGGGTCTGATCTCCTCCTTTTCTTTATTTTTCCAGTGGCCCTGATCTCCTCCTTTTCTTTATTCTCCAGTGGGTCTGATCTCCTCCTTTTCTTTATTCTCCAGTGGGTCTGATCTCCTCCTTTTCTTTATTTTTCCAGTGGGTCTGATCTCCTCCTTTTCTTTATTTTTCCAGTGGCCCTGATCTCCTCCTTTTCTTTATTCTCCAGTGGGTCTGATCTCCTCCTTTTCTTTATTCTCCAGTGGCCCTGATCTCCTCCTTTTCCTTTCTTTCCAGTGGCCCTGATCTCCTCCTTTTCTTTTTTTTCCAGTGGGTCTGATCTCCTCCTTTTCTTTATTTTTCCAGTGGGTCTGATCTCCTCCTTTTCTTTATTTTTCCAGTGGGTCTGATCTCCTCCTTTTCTTTATTTTTCCAGTGGGTCTGATCTCCTCCTTTTCTTTATTTTTCCAGTGGGTCTGATCTCCTCCTTTTCTTTATTCTCCAGTGGGTCTGATCTCCTCCTTTTCTTTATTTTTCCAGTGGGTCTGATCTCCTCCTTTTCTTTATTTTTCCAGTGGGTCTGATCTCCTCCTTTTCTTTATTTTTCCAGTGGCCCTGATCTCCTCCTTTTCTTTATTCTCCAGTGGGTCTGATCTCCTCCTTTTCTTTTTTTTCCAGTGGGTCTGATCTCCTCCTTTTCTTTATTTTTCCAGTGGGTCTGATCTCCTCCTTTTCTTTATTTTTCCAGTGGGTCTGATCTCCTCCTTTTCTTTATTCTCCAGTGGGTCTGATCTCCTCCTTTTCTTTATTTTTCCAGTGGGTCTGATCTCCTCCTTTTCTTTATTTTTCCAGTGGGTCTGATCTCCTCCTTTTCTTTATTTTTCCAGTGGCCCTGATCTCCTCCTTTTCTTTATTCTCCAGTGGGTCTGATCTCCTCCTTTTCTTTTTTTTTCCAGTGGGTCTGATCTCCTCCTTTTCTTTATTTTTCCAGTGGGTCTGATCTCCTCCTTTTCTTTATTTTTCCAGTGGGTCTGATCTCCTCCTTTTCTTTATTTTTCCAGTGGGTCTGATCTCCTCCTTTTCTTTATTCTCCAGTGGGTCTGATCTCCTCCTTTTCTTTATTTTTCCAGTGGGTCTGATCTCCTCCTTTTCTTTATTTTTCCAGTGGGTCTGATCTCCTCCTTTTCTTTATTTTTCCAGTGGCCCTGATCTCCTCCTTTTCTTTATTCTCCAGTGGGTCTGATCTCCTCCCTTTCTTTATTTTTCCAGTGGGTCTGATCTCCTCCTTTTCTTTATTTTTCCAGTGGCCCTGATCTCCTCCTTTTCTTTATTTTTCCAGTGACCCTGATCTCCTCCTTTTCTTTATTTTTCCAGTGGTCCTGATCTCCTCCTTTTCTTTATTTTCCAGTAGGTCTGATCTTCTGGATCTCCTCCTTCAAGCCGTTTTCCCTCTGGATGGAACGCAGCAGTTCTCCTCCAGGCCAGTGGGGGCGCTGTCTCCGGCACCGTGCCCTCAGCAGCAGACGCGGAGCGGCGTCACGTCCTTTATCCTGTGAGCAGCTGTCACTCCCAGCAGCCTCCAGACGCTCCTGGGCCCATTTGGACCCCGCAGCTCCGGTTCCTCCGCGCGGGAAGAAGGAAGGACTCAGGTCGGTTAGAGGTCCTTGGCTCCGGTCGGAGCTGCTTCCGGTTCCTCCCGAACATGGAGGTGCAGCGGGCTGCTGAGGAGGAGGAGGAGGAGGTGGCTGTAGATGTTCAGGTCACAGATCTGCTCAACGCCCTGATCGCCTGGAAGGTTCCAGAGGATCTGTTCACCATCAGCAGCCTGAAGGTAAGCAGAGACATCCCAGCATGTCCGGAGGACTGGGAGGACTGGAGAGGACTGGGATGACTGGAGAGGACTGAGAGGACTGGGAGGACTGGGAGGACTGGAGAGGACTGGGATGACTGGAGAGGACTGAGAGGACTGGAGAGGACTGGGTAGATTTACTACTTTATTGTCAGATAGACTTCAGGTGAATATAGGCGCTAATTAATAAATAAATTAATTAATTAAACTCCACAATATTACTGTAACCAGGGGCGGATTTAGGTAGTTTGGGGCCCTGGGCAAAGTCAGGCAGGGGGCCTCTAAACTGACAAGACAACACATTTAACTACAACTGAGGATTAGGGCCAGGCTAGAGATTATTAAATAGTTTTTATTATTAGAATACAGTCATATCATTACAAGAATAAAGTCGCAATGAGAATAGTCATAGAATTATGAGAATAAAGTTGTAATCTTACGGAAATAAAGTCATAATTTTACAAGAATCACAACATTACATTAATAAAGTGATAAAACTATGAGACTAAAGTCATATCATTACGAGAATAAAGTCTTAACATTATGAGAATAAAGTCGTAATATTACAAAGATAAAGTCATAATATCATCACAATAAAATTGTAATGTTACTAGAATAAAGTCATAATATTTAGTATTTTATGAACTCTCTAACCAGAAGCAGTGTTTTTTCATTATCTTAGATCAATCAGTGTAATTGAGAGGATTTGGATCTTGTTTAGTTTTGTTGATAAAGTCTGCCATTAGCGGACGAAAGGCCTTTCTGTGCCTCATTTCCTCCTCGTTTCTGTCCTTTAGCTGGAAATTTACCAGTCTGCTGCCGTGGGCAGGATACCCCATTTTAGCGTTTAACGTTGCCATGACAATGTAAATTCCATGAACCTGTGTTAATTAGGCCTAAAAATAATCCAATTACACAAAACTTTCATAAAAAATTAATAAATTGTTTATTGTATTGTATTTTTGATGCATTTTCTAAAATGTCTTTCTCTAGCCACCCCTAGTGGTGAGAGGGTAGAATCTCCCATAAGTATGGTACTAAAAGTACTAATTTCTTTACTTCAGTCACTAAAGAATGCTAATTCACATGTTTTAAAATATTTTAATGATTTTATGAGACAGTTTGATGCTTTTTACATTAGTCTGTTAAACAGCTTCTGTGACATCATCATGGGACATGCTCAGAGCAGACCTGCAAAGTAAGATTAAACCACGTTTATCTGCATTCTACTTGTTTCTTTCTTTACGCACTATATACCATAATCCTAACATGAAAGGAAAACATAGAACTCAAAAAGACTAGATTTATGTTTAAATCCAAAGCTGATAAAGTTAGCTCCTGGAAGGAGCGTAGCATCCCACTTCCTGTACAGATCGGGAACAGATGAGTGATAAAACGGAAAGGGAAAAACTAAATTTAGTTTTGTTTTTGCTAAATAAAATGGAGGGCGACCCTGGTGTATATCTGTTAGTGCAAATGAGCGGATGGTAGGGATAGTGCTAGCGGTACGGATCGGGTAGGCGGAGTCCTTCTAGCTAGAACATCGCAGAAATAGGAACACGCTCTGCTTTGGTTCCATCCAACCTTCTCCCTCCTCTGGTCCTCTCATCGTCCCCTTCTGCTTTTTTTTTCCCAGGCCAGCTTTGAGACCCTGTTCCGCTCATTTGACCCAGAGGTCCAGTTCCAGTACTTCCGGTCCTTCAGACGGGTCCGAATCAGCTTCAGCGATGCTGCCGCGGCGGCCGAGGCCCGGCTCAGACTCCACAGAACCGACTTCAACGGAACCGAGATCAGACTCTACTTTCCGCAGGTGACGCACCTCATGCTGGCCGAGATCTTTCCTCCATCCCTAAAATGTTTACATATTTTTGACAATCTTTGTATAACTCCTGCTCTATTTCAATAATTGATTAATCACGATAATTTGTTTCAGCCTTAAACAGAAAAGCTTTCCTTGACCTCAGATGCTTAATGACCCAGCTTACATCTTTTTTTATGCCGGTGGTGCAGTTTGGGTATTTTGGACAATCCAAGGACCTGTTAGGCCAGTATATCCACTCTAGCTGAAACAATCATTATTCTTTGGAGCGGCCTCAGAGGTAGGAACATAAACGCTGTGTTCTGGTTTACGGCTCCGTTTGACAATAAAAACACTCTGAAAATGTTAAACCGGACCGAACCACTCAGTGGAAACTAGGCTTTCAGGGTGTTAAGATCAGGTCAAGAACAAACCAGATTCTCAGCATCTTCAGTAGGGATGGGGATCGTTATTATTTATTGATATCGATACTCATTATCGATCCAATTCTTTATCGATGCCACTATCGATACTTTTCTGTTATTTGGTGGAAAGACGATGCGACAAAATGTTTTAACAGACAGAAAGGAAGTGGGGAAAAAATTATTTGAAGAAATGTCTTCTTTTGGTTTAAAAAAATATATACATTTTCACAATTGTGGGTTAATGTATTGTCTACTGTCACTTTTCATCATGTTTTTAGTGATTAGGAAAATATTTAGCGAATAAATAATTGTATTTTAAATTAAATGTAATTTTTAATAAACGTTGGCATCAGTAGTTTAATTATATATTCTAAAATAATTAGAGCAATATACAACTGTATTACTCATGTTTCTCGCCAAAAACTCAATTTCCCGTTTTCTTTACGTTACACTTGAACGCATCATGATAACCTAATTGTCGTTTTACTGAGCCAATCTGAACGCATCATCACGCAGCACGTCTGAAACTTTATTTACTTTTCAAGCTAACTAGCTTGTATGCTTCCGATTACAAGACGGATTTCACAATTAATATTTTTAACTGACCGGACAAGCTGCAAAGTCTGTGTGCGCGTTTACCAGCGGTACTCTGAGTGGATGATGAAGACGGGCCGACTGCGGTGCGGCGGCAGCAGCAGGAGGAGGAGGAGTCGAGGGACACACAATTATGTTACAGGACCTCCGGGAGAAAAAAAAAACGACCAGACTCGATAGTGGTATCGATAAACCCAAACGTTATTGATTTTCGGGTTTTGAAAAAAGTGGAACCGGGTCCTTGATAGAACCGGGTTTCGATCCCCATCCCTAATCTTCAGCTCCTTTTAGGGCTGCTGCTAACAATTATTTTGCAAATCGATTAATTATTTTTTCAATGAATAAGTGGATAGCCAAAGGTTCTTTAAAGAAGATTTTACAAAATTAAACCAGATGAAAATGAAAGTTTTTTATTATTCTGGATAGAGTTGACAGGTGATAGATTTTTTTTTTTACTTAAAAGCTTTCCTGGCCTTCAGACGGTGGATGACCCAACTTACATCTTTTTTCTGCCTTTTTCCCACTGAGGGGTGCGATCCGCGTTTCTCTGCCAGTAGGTGGCTCTTTTAGGCCTCTCTATCTCCACCCTAACTGAACCAAACCGTTATTTTTTGGATCAAGGGTGTAGGTTTGATTCCAGCTTTGGTAGGGACACTATTGGTCTGATGTCATTGGTCTGATGTCATTGGTCCTTTGCTAAAATATTCATTTCTCTGTGTTTAATGTGAGCATCAGGACACATTTAGTTTAAAGAGAACAGCAGCATTAATATAAATCTTATTAGCTCTACACTCACTAGATGCTGTTTATCAATGTTTAAAGCATCTCTGGCTCTGATCAATGTGGAATTAGGACTTTTTTCCACTTTGAAAAGGTTTGCATTTAAACTTACCAGCGACTGAGACAGAAGGTAAATATTTAACCCAATATAGTCTAAATATTAGGGATGCACGATATAATCGGCCCCCTATCGGTATCGGCCTTAAAACTGAATATCGGACATCGGCCACCCCACCGATATTTAACCCGATATTTGATCAGCTTCTGAGTTTCTAAAGTCTAAAAAAAAAAAATAAATACTACTTCTTCTTCTTCCTCAAAAACTTCTTTTTTACAGACTTAAAAACTTCTAAAGACGAGGGAAAAAATATTGATCCATCAAAATATCCCAATATCTTCATATGCTGATATATTGCCATTTAAAAACACCATATCAATCTCTTTTACTAATGAAATATTGCTATATGTCATCGTTATGCTACGAAATCCCCCGAAAATTCACAAAATGTTGCCATATTTTTATATGTTGATATATTGACGCGGTATCGATCTATTTTACTAACAAAATCTCACAAGAATTTGCAAAATATCACGAGAGTTTGTAACAGAACGATGAAATTTCACCAGATTTTGAAAGTAAAATAGATCGATACCGCGTTTTTAAAAATCTATTTGATATCAGCATATGAAAATATATTTGAGTATATTATTTTTCAAAGTGTCAGAAATGGATAACAAAACTGCTATTTTCAATGACTACTTATTTTTGTCCAGCTTTAACATCGGTATCGATATCGGTTATCGGCTACATGAGTTTTAAAATATCGGCATATCGGATATCGGCCAAAATCCCAATATCCTGCATCCCTACTAAATATGTCTGTTATATGTGATTTATCCTGTTTTCTTTTGAAGATATAGAATAGAGGTAAACTCGCTCTTATTGTTTTATCTCTATGCTCTCTCTGTATCATGCCAAATAATACATTCAGGGACGATAAATAAATGTGTTTAAATGAGCACTGGAACTATAAGAGGAGCCGACACTGAGCATTTCAAATATTAACTTCACTATAAGCTGTTCATCTGGGCTGTAGTTACTCTGTGTCGCCCATTTCATGTATTTGATCTATGGCTGAAACAATTAATCAGATTAATCGATTATTTAAATAATAAACTAATTTAGTAATTGATTAATCATTAACTGGAGTATAGAGCCACTAAAATGCGTCTTTAGCCGACAGAGCGACGCACTTAGAGCAGGAATTATACCAAGATCATTCAACATTATATCTGTTTCCTTCAATCATTAATATTTCTATTATAAACAGGGTTCCCGCGTGTCCTTAAAAAGTCTTAAAAGGCATTGAATTCTTCAAAATAAAACTAAGGCCTTAATTGTTATTAAAATGTCTTAAATCAGTCTTTTGTAGGTCTTCATTTTTAAAACATCATAAATAGGATTATTTTTATTATGATTTATTTTTGTAATCTAAATAAAATGTTAAAATTGACATGTATTTTTTTTAATAAACAAAATAATAATAACGGCTCGCCATTATTGGTTCCGTCCCGATAGCGGAACCAATAAGGCGTTGTTGCTGCCGGGGCATTTGGGAGATGCAACATTAACTTTTTGTCTGGAAAATATGAGCAAGTGTAAATGTAACCAAAATTGTCTCCAGCCAAGAGTTTCCTCCATGGCTAAAACCAGTAGCCTTGAGAGACCATCCTGATCTCGCGAGCTTTCAAGGTTTCACTCGATAATCAGTCTGGAGACTCTCCGTTAAAGAAAATTTGGAGCCGTTCACCAAACGAACGTCCAATCAGCGTTGGCTTTGAGGCGGGTTGAGGTGTGACGCAACGAGAAGCGCGACAGTTCAGTCTAAAGAACATGGCGGCTTCAGCCGATGAAACTAGCGTTAGCGTGGCTATCGAGCAAGTTTTATGGGAATTACAGAGTATTTCTTCACTGAAAGAAGAGCAAAACACTGCTCTGGAGGCTTTTCTCAGAGGAAAAGATGTTTTTGCTCTTCTCCCGACTGGTTTCGGCAAGAGTTTGATCTATCAATTGGCTCCTCTTCGTCGTCGCTCTGTTAGTACGTCATATGCTTCGTTGATCTGATTGGTTTATTTGGCCCGTCTATCCCCAACATAGGCCAATCAGCTAACCAGGATTTTCCCCCTTCCTAAAATTACTTCAACGGAAGGTTTCCAGATGGATATGCGGAGCAAATTTTTTAGCTTTCTTCCTGTATGGGAAGCTTTTCAAAATTTGAAACATTAGTGCATAGTTTATGTTAAAATAAACCTTTGGGTAAAGTTGTCGCAAGCAGGTTTTTCTTGTGAATTTGGTGTTAAATTTTTATTTCAAGTGGCATTAAAAAGTCTTAAAAAGTCTTGAATTGAACTGCATTATGCTGTAGGAACCCTGTATAGAAGAGGGTTTTTAATAGTAAAGGATTAAATGAAACACAACCTTTTATCATCGTCGTATATTGCTGCTGTTTAAATATTTTCTTATGTCTATTTTAAAACACTGAGAATGAGCCTAAGTTTATTCAAATATAAAATCACTTTTAACAATTATAAAGACAATATAACACTATCTTATCTGTAATGTAATAATATCCTAAATAAACAGCCAGATTCAAGCATTATTTACCAGACATTAATGTTTAAACTGTTTTACTTATAGACTGTGTGGAAAAATAGAAAAATAGAATCAGTGTAAATAGAGTTCCTCTGTTTGTCTTTATTCTATTTCTAGAAGTATAATCAATTACATAAACTATTATGTAGAAAACAAAAAAAGCAGATCTTCATCCTTCTCGTGTTATTATAGCACCTCCAAGGGTCACTATAGAACGATAAAGTTCTGCTGACCTAACCTGACTCCGCCAGATGGATTTGCTCCTCATATCCATCTGGAAACCTTCCGTTGAAGTAATTTTAGGAAGGGGGAAAATCCTGGTTAGCTGATTGGCCTATGTTGGTGATAGACGGGCCAAATAAACCAATCTGATCAACAAAGCATATGATGTACTAACAGAGTGACGACGAAGAGGAGCCAATTGATAGATCAAACTCTTGCCGAAACCAGTCGGGAGAAGAGCAAAAACATCTTTTCCTCTGAGAAAAGCCTCCAGAGCAGTGTTTTGCTCTTCTTTCAGTGAACAAATACTCTGTAATGCCCATAAAACTTGCTCGATAGCCACGCTAACGCTAGTTTCATCGGCTGAAGCCGCCATGTTCTTTAGACTGAACTGTCGCGCTTCTCGTTGCGTCACACCTCAACCCGCCTCAAAGCCAACGCTGATTGGACGTTCGTTTGGTGAACGGCTCCAAATTTTCTTCAACGGAGAGTCTCCAGACTGATCTGCGAGTGAAACCTTGAAAGCTCGCCAGATCAGGATGGTCTCACGAGGCTAGTGCAGACCAGGATCAGAACCCTAGACTGGATTAAGAGCAGTAAGATCAAATTTTAGATAAATAAGAGACACAGACCAAGGAGTAAAGTTTAAATGCCGGCTTCTTATTGAACATATGGATAAAAGACAATGACTGACATTCAACATTTATTGTGGAATAAATCCCTTTTTGTGTTAAACGCCTTTAGTTATATTAAGTTCCTTTTGGATCCTATCAATATAAGTTGCAACCTTTAGCTATTTTAATTTTCAGTTCAAGGTATTTCTCTTTTCAACTCTTTTATTAATGAGTTTAGTTCTATTTATTTCAACTCTTTTAGTTTATTTTAGCATTTGGAACCAAACAATGAATAAGACTGCATTAATACAGTATAATGGTGCATGCTCAAGAAAATAAAATACAGTTGAAATGTTACAAAACTCAAAATATTCAGCAAAAGTCTGTATTCCACAGAATAAAGTCTCTTCCTTTCAGATTTTTTTCTCTGTTTGATCAGTCCAATGTTACGCCTGGATCCACTGGTTCTGGTGGAAGGTGAAAAGATCCCACCAGTTCAGATGTAAAGCATTAAACATCCAGCAGGGGGAGCAATCCTGGCTCATGCACAGTTCACACTGTGTCCACAGGGTGGCTCACCATCTTCACTGGAAAAAATAAGTCATTTTTTTTCTTAAAATAAGTGCATTTGTTCTTGGATTGAGGAGGTAAAAGATCAATTTTGCCAATGGAACAAGAGAATTTACACTTAGAATAAGAAAATACAATTGCATTGTCTCATTTCAAGTGCATTTTTATCTAATTATCTTATTTTAAGTGTCAAAATACTCATTCCACTGGCAAATAATCTCATTTACCTACTGAAATTAAGAATAAATACACTTAATTTAAGGAAATTTTACTTATTTCTAGATTGTTTTTCCAGTTCAGTGTCTAATCAACAATCCCGTTTAATCCAAGCACACAAACCATCAATAAAGAGTCCGGTTGCTTTGCAAAACGCCAGCAGTTCAAAACCACAAAACAATAAAATATCTTCTTTAGAGGGAAAACAGAAAAACCTTTCTTAGAGTAGCATAATGTTGTTTTCAGGCTGGTTTCTCCACTTATTTTTCTGCTAATTTTACCGCAGTACTTTGCGTCTCACCATCCTGCAACGATCTGATTGGATGGAAGAAATCTACTCGGGTTTCAAACATTTAATAATGTAAATAATTTATTTTGATGTTTTTTTATTTTTTTCTATCAAATATTATACATTAAAATAAAAAAAAATAGATATATTTTAGCACATGAACTAATTTATTGACTTTTATTTTTTATTATTTTCAGCATTTATTGTTGTTTTCATTAACACTCTGTTAACCTCTGGGTAACATTATGTTCTATAAAAGAAATAAAAGCTGTTATTTCCACCTGAACTGCCGTCAGAATGAAAACAGAAATATTGTTAAAGGGAATCAGAAATGTTGATAGTTTACAGTCTTTGTTCATTTTAACAGCAGTTTAATGAACTCCTGTCTGACTCACAATATTTAGTTTAATAAATAAATCCTAACGTTGGTTTCTTTCATTTCTTAAGTTCATCAAATCCAAACTGTTTCCTGCTTCTTTACAGAACTGCAGTCAGAAGCTTTCGCCTGTTTTAGTCTAGATTATATTTAGTGTTTTAATTGGGACTAGTTTCCTAGCCTAATATTAACTTTGGTAACCACCGTATTCTAGCGTCATTTGTTTTATTTCGCTCTCCAAGCAGACAGACCAGAAAACAACCAGTCAGAAAGAGAGGAGGAGGAACTTAAGGCAGAAGAATCAGAGAGATAAACAGAACAGTTCAGTTCCATGCGCTGCTGCGTGGGAGGAAAGGAAAGAGCAGCTGCAGCTACCAGGCAGAGGAGCTGAGGGAGGAAAAGAAGCTGCAACGACTACAGCTGGAAATTAGAAACATGTTGTTCACATTTAATACTAGTAGGTCCGACATGTTGGTAGAGACATGTCCCTATGGTCGCTATGCTAACCTACGCCCACGCCTCACAGGTAGGAACATTAAGGTTGAGTTCAGGTTTGGTTTTATGGCTCAGTTTGACAATGGAAACTCCCAAAAAGTTAAACCGGACTGAACCACTGGGTGGAAACTAGGTTTTCTGGGTGTTTAGTTCAGGTGGAGAACGTTCCAGATTCTCAGCATCTTCACCTCCTTTTAGGACTGCTGATGAAAATTACTTTGCAAATTGATTATTTTTCAATCAATAATCTGATAGCAAAATATTCTCTGATAAAGACTTTTCCACTGGAGGAGTTCTGGATAGATGAAAAATCTTTTTTTTGTTTTTTAAATGAAAACTTTTTTTTAACGTTGTCAGATCATTGCATAAATGATAATAAAGCAAAACATCTAATTTCTCCTCAGCATTTTAATCCAATAAAACACACAAGAGTTCGACCTTTGAACTATCTGGGTGACGTTTGTTGTCGGCGGGTAAAAAGGAGATGGAAGATAATTAAGTTGCCATAGTAACAGAGTCCGCCTCCAAGCAAAGCGGCTTCATCAAACCCAAATGAGGATGAAATAACCCAGACTAGGATGACTGAGCCTGTTTTTTTCTGATTAACTTGGAGCCAATCAGAGCTTTGCTTTTTCTCCTCCTGTTTCCTGTAGTCGGTCCACATCGGGAGCCCTCGTCTGAAGCCCCCCAAACCGGAGAAGCAGTTCCTGATCTCCCCCCCGGCCTCCCCTCCTGTCGGCTGGGAGCAGTCCCACGACGCTACCCCCGTCATCAACTACGACCTGCTGTGCGCCATCTCCAAGATCGGACCAGGTAACTTCTTACTGGGGGACCTCTGTGTTGTTGGGGGTCCAACAGTGTTTCCAGGGGTCTACTGTGTTCCTGGGGGCCGGTGGTGGCCCTGGGGGCCAGCTGTATCTCTGGGGGCCAGTGGTGTCCCTGGGGTCTGCTGTGTTTCTGGGGGCCGGCGGTGTCCCTGGGGTCTGCTGTGTTCCTGGGGGCCGGTGGTGTCCCTGGGGTCTGCTGTGTTCCTGGGGGCCGGTGGTGTCCCTGGGGTCTGCTGTGTTCCTGGGGGCCGGTGGTGTCCCTGGGGTCTGCTGTGTTCCTGGGGGCCGGCGGTGTCCCTGGGGTCTGCTGTGTTCCAGGGGCCCGCTGTGTTCCTAAGGACCCGCTGTGTCCCTGGGGTCCCGCAGTGTTCCTGGGGTCCTGCAGTGTTCCTGGGGGCCCGCAGTGTTCCTGGGGTCCCGCAGTGTTCTTGGGGTCCCGCAGTGTTACTGGGGTCCCGCAGTGTTCTTGGGGTCCCGCAGTGTTCCTGGGGGCCCGCAGTGTTCCTGGGGTCCCGCTGTGTTACTGGGGTCCCGCTGTGTTACTGGGGTCCCGCAGTGTTACTGGGGTCCCGCAGTGTTACTGGGGTCCCGCGGTGTTCCTGGGGTCCCGCGGTGTTCCTTGGGGCCCGCGGTGTTCCTGGGGTCCTGCAGTGTTCTTGGGGTCCCGCAGTGTTCCTGGGGTCCCGCAGTGTTTCTGAGGTCCCGCAGTGTTCTTGGGGTCCCGCAGTGTTCCTGGGGTCCCGCAGTGTTCCTGGGGTCCCGCAGTGTTCCTGGGGTCCCGCAGTGTTCCTGGGGGCCAGCAGTGTTCCTGGGGGCCAGCAGTGTTACTGGGGTCCCGCAGTGTTCCTGGGGGCCAGCAGTGTTACTGGGGTCCCGCAGTGTTACTGGGGGCCAGCAGTGTTCCTGGGGTCCCGCAGTGTTCCTGGGGTCCCGCAGTGTTCCTGGGGTCCCGCAGTGTTCCTGGGGTCCCGCAGTGTTCTTGGGGTCCCGCAGTGTTCCTGGGGTCCCGCAGTGTTACTGAGGTCCCGCAGTGTTCTTGGGGTCCCGCAGTGTTCCTGGGGTCCCGCAGTGTTCCTGGGGTCCCGCAGTGTTCCTGGGGTCCCGCAGTGTTCCTGGGGGCCAGCAGTGTTCCTGGGGGCCAGCAGTGTTACTGGGGTCCCGCAGTGTTCCTGGGGGCCAGCAGTGTTACTGGGGTCCCGCAGTGTTCCTGGGGTCCCGCAGTGTTCCTGGGGTCCCGCAGTGTTCCTGGGGTCCCGCAGTGTTCTTGGGGTCCCGCAGTGTTCCTGGGGTCCCGCAGTGTTCCTGGGGTCCCGCAGTGTTCCTGGGGGCCCGCAGTGTTCCTGGGGTCCCGCTGTGTTACTGGGGTCCCGCAGTGTTACTGGGGTCCCGCAGTGTTACTGGGGTCCCGCAGTGTTCCTGGGGTCCCGCTGTGTTACTGGGGGCCAGCAGTGTTACTGGGGGCCAGCAGTGTTACTGGGGTCCCGCAGTGTTCCTGGGGTCCCGCAGTGTTCCTGGGGTCCCGCAGTGTTCCTGGGGTCCCGCAGTGTTCCTGGGGGCCAGCAGTGTTACTGGGGTCCCGCAGTGTTCCTGGGGTCCCTCAGTGTTTCTTGGGGCCCGCAGTGTTCTTGGGGTCCCGCAGTGTTCCTGGGGTCCCGCAGTGTTCCTGGGGTCCCGCAGTGTTCCTGGGGTCCCGCAGTGTTCCTGGGGTCCTGCAGTGTTACTGGGGTCCAGCAGTGTTACTGGGGGCCCGCATTGTCCCTTGAAGCCAGCAGTGTTCCTAGGGGCCCGCTGTGTTTCTACTGTTGCACCTTCTCCCAGATGAAGTGGGGGTCCTCTGTAGCGTCCCCAATGCTAACCTTCTCTTCTGCCGCCCACAGGAGAGACGTATGAGCTCCACACGGCCACGCCCACCACCCCCAGCGTCGTGGTCCACGTCTGCGAGGATGAGCAGGGACTCGGTCCAACCGTTGCCGACTGCAGCCAGCAGGAGAAGCCCCTCGCCCCCCGGCCAAAGATCGTCCAGACTCGAAGGCCCGACTTCATGCCAGGGGCGGAGCAGTGAACAGGGCGCCCAGCAAGGGGGCGGAGTTTAACCTGATAAGGAGCTCAGAGGTTTGGGGGTGTAGAGCACCCTCTAGGGAGCGGATCAGGGAGCGCAGGCTGATTTCCAAGATGGAGTCAGGAGGCTGGCTGCTGATTGGACCGTAGATTGGACCAAGTTTAGTCATCAGATGACGTCATGTCTGCCCCTTCTTCATTTAGCCTGCTGCTTCATTTCTGCTGCCCCCTGGTGTTCCGAACACAAAAGTTTCCTTTAAGCACCTTAAAAAAAGGTGTTTAATAAGTATTCATGCCCCCTGGATCAGTGAGAGGAGGAACAAAGAAAAAGCTTACAGCGCGGCTGACTTGGCTCCAAATTGGCGTCCAGAGGTGGGCCTTCTTGTCCAGGCGGGCTGAACCAGAACCCAAACAGTTTGTCTTCAGATTTGAACTTCAATTATATTTGAGTTTAACGTCATTTATGGATCGCTCAGCAGGCTGATCCGGTCCAATCCAGTCTAATCTGACCCCCCCCTCCCCCTCAGCAGCCAGCCAGGCCTCTGGGTTGTCAGCAGCCATATTCCTTTTAGTTCTAGCTCTACGCCCCCCGCTGCACCACCTGTGGAGTTCTTCTCCCTCAGTGACCCGATTCCGGTGGCCCGGTTCTGGTGGCCCGCCACATTACACCAGAATGGGAGGGGGGGATTTATTCCTATCTGGGTTGGATATGCTAACATGTAGCTGTTTGTCCTTCAGCGCTAACCTGTCCTCAAAGATATGTTTATTTAGGGAAGAGCTCCCACTCTGTAGAGAATCTACTCCTCTGTTTGAGCAGCATTAGTGATGCTGATGTAAACGCTGACCCATACGTGCTGTAGAGGAGCTTAGCTCATGGTTTCATGTTTAACTGGGGGGGGGGGGTTCTGTTTGTCTGCTGCATCAGTAAATAAAAGTTTGACTCTCCATGAAGCAGTTTGTGTGTTTGCTAACCTTGAATCGCCTCAAACAGGAAGCGGTTTGGAGGCGAATGGGATCCAGAGCTAAATGGAACCAGAACCTTCTCTGAATAATCTGTTGGTTTCTAAATGTTCTGCTGCTGCTGGAGGTTCGGTCCTGGCAGCAGGTTTGGTTAAGTCAACCGGATCTCGCAATGTACCAAGGACCAATCCTGCCATAATTAAAAAGGTATACAGAATAAATACATACAGAAATATATGAAGGACTTTATTGTTAATATAAAATTGCTTAAAAAATATAATTTATCTATTGTTGAAGATATATCCTATTTTTCATATTAGCCACTTTTTCAAGCAATTTTATATTATTAAATCAGTTTATGTATTTTTAATAATGGTAGGATTGGTCCTCCACAGATTTACACTGAATAACAAAATAAAAGACTTAAAAAAAAAAATGTAGAACATAGAATATTTATATATATATATATATATATTCTTAAGTCCCCCTGAAAATGAGAACATCATGGTTGTTCCATGCTGTAGCACACGGATTGTTTACATTGTGAGCGGTCTAACTAGGGAGTACCAATATGGCGGCCTGTAGCCTAACTTTAAACCTGAACTACCAATGAACAATCAGTAATCCAGTGAATAAATAGCGATACGTGGTTAAAGTACGCTACTTAAAGCTCATATAAATGCATCATTAATCGGGCGGCTTTAGCGATGTAATAAGACGGTATAATGGCCTCCTTATGGAAGTATTTAAATTAAAATTAAACAATACAATATCTGTGCGTGTTTATATCATTACGATCTCGTATATTCGCATCTTTATAATTTCGTAAATGCATGTTTTTTATTGTAAATTTGCATTTTAATCTCGTACATTTTCTACTTTTCCCCTCTAAATTAGCATCTTTATAATCTTGTAAATTTGTGTTTTTTTCTTGTTAATTTGTCTATTTATTCTTGTACATTTGCTACTTGTTTCCTTCTAAATTTGCATGTTTAGATCATAAATTTGGGTTTATTAACTTGTAAATTTGCGTGTTTTTTTTCTCATAAAATTACATGTTTATTCTCGTAAATTTGTTAAATCTTTCTTCTAAATTTGCATGCCTTTAATTTCGTAAATTTGTAGCTTTGCGTGTTTTTTCTCATAAAATTACATGTTTATTCTCGTAAATTTGCTAAATCTTTCGTCTAAATTTGCATACCTTTAATTGTGTAAATTTGTAGCTTTAGAATTTCGTAAATGTGCATGTTTTTTTCTCGTAAATTTGCATTTTAGTCTCGTACATTTTCTACTTTTCCCCTCTAAATTAGCATCTTTATAATCTTGTAAATTTGTGTTTTTTTTCTTGTTAATTTGCCGATTTATTCTGGTACATTTGCTACTTGTTTCCTTCTAAATTTGCATGTTTAGATCATATATTTGAGTTTATTTACTTGTAGCTTTGCGTGTTTTTTCTCATAAAATTACATGTTTATTCTCATTAATTTGTTAAATCTTTCTTCCAAATTTGCATGCCTTTAATTTCGTAAATTTGTAGCTTTAAAATTTCGTAAATGTCCATGTTTTTTTCTCGTAAATGTGCTTTTTAGTCTCATACATTTTCTACTTTTCCCCTCTTAATATCTTTATCTTTATAATCTTGAAAATTTGTGTTTTTTTTCTTGTTAATTTGTTTATTTATTCTTTTACATTTGCTAGTTGTTTACTTCTAAATTTGCATGTTTAGATCATAAATTTGGGTTTATTAACTTGTAACCTTGTGTGTTTTTTCTCATAAAATTACATTTTTATTCTCGTAAATTTGCTAAATCTTTCGTCTAAATTTGCATGCCTTTAATTCCGTAAATTTGTAGCTTTATAATTTCGTAAATGTGCATGTTTTTTTCTTGTAAATTTGCATTTTAGTCTCGTACATTTTCTACTTTTCCCCTCTTAATTAGCATCTTTATAATCTTGTTAATTTGTCTATTAATTCTTGTACATTTGCTACTTGTTTCCTTCTAAATTTGCATGTTTAGTTCATAAATTTGGGTTTTTTTACTTGTAAATTTGCGTGTTTTTCTTCTAAATTTGCATTTTAGTCTCGTACATTTTCTACTTTTCCCCTCTTAATTAGCACTTTATAATTTAGTAAATTTATTTATTTTTTTTTTCTCTGCCTATTCATCTTGTACATTTGCTGCTTGTTTATATCATTTTGGTGTTTTTACTTGTGAATTTGCGTGTTTTTTCACGTAAATATCCCACTTTAAACCCTAAAAATTCCAAAAAGGATGAGATGTATTTACAGTCCTGCTGCTGTTGGACCGTCTGCTCTGTGAAGGAAGTGTTTGTTTGTTTTTCCACGGACATTGAACGCATCACCAGAGGGTGACCCCAGTGGTCACATGAGCAACTGGAATCCACATGTAAGACCTGTCAGTTCTCATGTTCCTCAGCGATGATGCTGTACGTGTAGGACTGGAATAGTTCCCACAGCTCAGTGAAACCGGATCCCATCTATGGAAGGAAGGTCCGCTGGTCCTGTGGGGCAGAACCAAACCAGAACCAGGTCTAAACCTTATGGGATCCTGCCTGCTGATGGTCTCAGATGGAGACGATCTGCTGTGGCGGGACGGTGCCGTGGACGTCAGGGTTCTGTGAAGGTTCTCCCTCTGTGCAGAACCCACTCCTCGGGTTCAGAACCTCTTGCTTTGCGTTCTGAGGGCCGTCCACCCGCAGGAATCCTGCCACGTGCCTCTGAGCTTCGATAACGAGGGTCAGGTGTCGCCTGAGCGAAAACCGCAGCAGGTGCAGCAGGTCGTGTTTCCACTGGGAGTGTAAATATGACGGGTCGGCGCAGGAGAACCGAACCAAATCTAAACACTCTAGTTGCCACAGATTCTAGACTTTGTGGTTCTAACCCCTCCATGTACCTCAGTCTAGATGTTCAGGCGGGTTCTGCTGTTGGATGGTGGACCTCCACCCCATCCTAAGGTTGCCTGCAATGATTTCCATCCATCCATCAGCATGATTCTGCCACCACCATGTTCCAACATGATTATGATTTTCATTTGAGCTTTACTCCACCAACGTGGACTGGTTTTGGGTGTGGGAGCCTCTAACTTCTAGGCAGTGTAGTTCTGTGTAGCTCAGCCCTGACCGAGGACCAATGAATGCAGCCTGTGGAGCTGCAGAGGAAGGGAGCTGCCTTTTTAAGGGAGAGGGGGCAGCTGGCGTTATTTAAAACCCCCTGAGGTGGAGGGAACTCCTGAGCTCTGAAGGATTTTATCCCTGCAGTTGTTTCCAGGTAAGAGCAGCTTTGCTTTGTGGCTGAGAGTTTGGTTTTCTGTGGTACCAGAACCTGTTGGTGTGACCCGGCCGTCTGCTCCTTTGGATCCATTTAACCCATAAAGTAGCAGAGCAATGAAATGAGGACGGCTTGCATTAGAAAGATGGAGATGTTCTGAATGTGAGGACTGTGGGAAGAGGAACCCCTCATTGAAGCAGACCGCTGTGTTCTGATCAGCCCTGCAGGAGAACAACATGATCCATCTCTGTGGTCTGGTGGCGTTGCTGTGCCTTCATCACAGGGCGTCCTGCAGAGGTGAGACTGTCCTTCATCACATCCTACACTGACGCCCCAAAGTAAATTAACGTTTTTAGTTTTATTATGACACAGATTTTAGTATTAAACAAAGATTACATTAATTAAGACAAAGTCAAATGCAAACGATTTAATTTATTAAAGGAAAACTACCTTTCTGGCTTAAAGACGTTTCCGGTTTTTGACACCAGGGAGCATCGTTGAGTTTAAAGGCAGCTTGATAAACTCTCTCACCCAGTAGGATGGGATTCCCCCAATTTACAGCATTACTGGGAGAAAATGGCATAAATCTTTATCCTGGACTGGGAGAGGCCTACAGAGATTCCAGTTGGATCAAAATAAAGTGACACCCAATGAAACGAGTGAAGAAGAAGAAAGAAATGAGTGAACTGGGTGGAAGAAGAGCTGAAATCCCTTAACTTTGACTCTCACTTTATATCAATATGAAAATGTTTATCGGTCCATTACACAAGCAGGTGTAACAAATTCAGATTTAAACCCTCAACTTTAAATAGATCTAGCCTAAAGTTGGGAACTCTGAGTTTTCGGTTTCATGAATTTGTTCAATCAATTCTAAGTAGAACACGTGCGAAACAAGTATGCAAAGCCATTACCAGTGGAGCGCCGGTTCGAAGAGTCACCATGACAACAGGCAAGTGCCCATTTCCCCCCACTGGAACTAGAGATTTAATTACAGAATTGCTAAAAAATAAAAAAGGAGAATGTGTTTAAAAGACAGAGAAACAGCACTGCAGCTACAAAGGAGCTGCTCCAGTTAACGTGTAGGTTTATATTGAGTGGGCTATGGCAGGCCGTTTAGGCATTTAATAAAAGCACTCTCTGTTGTTCCATTTGTAGATCACTAAAATAAGATTCTTCCTGATCAAAATCACATTCCCAGACTGAACTGTAATAATATATTTTATAAATGACATTTTGTAGCAGAAACTGAATTTTAGAACATTAAAAATAAAATAATACTAATAAGAATTAGGTTTTATATATCTAGAAATGTTTACACATTTTAATCGGCTGTTTAACAGCTTGACTGAAAATGTATTTATGATATCTGAAAAACATTTTTTCATAGTTAAAATAATAAAAATGCTGACAAATGCAGTAATAATAATAATATAGAGATCTATAATTAATTTCTAGAAATCCAGAATGTTTATTCTAGATGTAGAGGATAATATTGTGTTGGA